CTCTCCGGATGTGCTCCTCCGCCTCCTGGTCGTAGCCGTGGCGGAGGCAGTGCCTCCACAGGCCGGTGTTGGTCGAGTTGTATTGTCGGTTACACTCGTCCGCCGCGCTCATGGCGAACAGCTGCCTGCGGCTGCGCGGCAGCGGCAGGCGGTGGTCTTGCCGCGCGGCGCGGAGCGGCAGGCTGTTGTTGGGGATGTAGATGAAGCCCGGGTCTTTGCGGCGGCTCGTGAAGCTGCGGCACCGCTCGCGGTACCGCCTGGCGTCGGTCTCGTACCAGTGATCGGAGCACATCGCCACCGCGAGCATAGCCAGCGCGCACAGAGACAGCGACAGTCCGGCGTACAGCAGGAACCTCCCGGCCGCCATCGCGTCTACAGCCACATCGGCACCGACGGGGAACGCTCCGGGCGGCTCACATCACATCCGCGGCCCGACACGCGTCCGCGCGGCCCGGTCGCGGGGCCCGTGGGTCCGGTCCGCGCGGAGCAGAGAGCGGCGGAGCGGCGGAGCGGCGTCAGCCGCGAGCGGCGGCCATCTGGACGCACATACGAGCGCACATGAGCGGCAGCGCGGAGGAGGTTACCCCGCGGAGGGCGCGTCAGCTCCGGGCGCACTCACGGACACTGTCACGGACACTCTCACGGACACTCTCACGGACACTCTCACGGACACTGTCACGGACACACGCCGCTCGCAGATCCGGTGTCTGGGACGTTTCTCCGCCGCCGCGGAACCTGAAGAGGCGCAGTCCTCTGAGCCGTGCGCGAGCCCTCTGCGCGTGCACGGGCGAAAAGATGACGGCAGCTGTTTCACGCGCCTCAGAAACGACCAATCAGAGCGCGTCTCTGCCCGTGCACGCGCAGCCTCCACCAGGCGCGCACACGTGCGGCTGCTGTTCACTTCAACGGATCAGAGTTTGGACAGAAGGACACTGTCCCTGTCAGCTCCTGTCAGCTCCTGTCAGCTCCTGTCTGCTCCTGTCTGCTCCTGTCTGCTCCTGTCTGCTCCTGCCAGCTCCTGTCAGCTCCTGTCTGCTCCTGTCTGCTCCTGTCTGCTCCTGTCTGCTCCTGTCAGCTCCTGTCAGCTCCTGTCTTCTCCTGTCCCCCTGTCAGCTCCTGTCTGCTCCTGTCAGCTCAAACTGTCTGCTCACTGTCAGCTAAATAAATACACACTATTGTAGCACAGACACACACTCACACACACTCACACTGACACACACACACACTCACACACACACACACACACACACACACTCACACTCACACAGACACACACACACACACGCACACACACACACACACACTCACACACACACACACACACTCACACACACACACACACACACACACACACACACACACACACTCACACACACAGCACACACACTCACACACACTACACACACACACACAGACACACACACACACACACGCACACACACACACACACACACTCACACACACACTCACACAGACACACACACACACACTCACACACACACACACACACACACTGCTTGACCGTTGAAAAGTTCTATTATTTTGTTTTGAATGGTTCGTTTCCACGGCAACGGCCCAAAGTCTTCGTCGTTCTGAGATCCAAAAGGTCAGGGGGCTTCTTCCGTTTGCCTCAGTCTGACCCCTGACCTCTGACCCCTGTGAAGCCCCCTGACCCTCCGCACGCGCCCCTCATCAGGGCAAACGCGCGCGGGCTGTTTCACACGGACTGATGAGGCTGAGCGTGCGGCGCCCCCTCCTGGACACACACACAAACAACAGCACCACCGAAGTGAACAGAACCGGGACCGAACCAGGACCGAACCGGGACTTCAAATACTGGGTTTATATTAAATCAAATATTGGACATGCTGTAAATCAAAAAGATGAGAATTTTTTTTTTGTTATTTAAAATGATTATAGTTATATGTTGGATATTATAGTCTATTTGCTATGGATATTATGGATACTAGTTTTTGTTAAATATTTTTATTGTTTTTATTAAAAAAAAATATATATAATAAATGATGAGAACAATTTTCCTGTTATTTGTTTACGTCCCCGGAACCTTTCGTCAAACCGAGCTCCCGCACGGAGCAGAAACAGAGTGGGACGGGGTAGCGGTGTGACTTTAGCTCGGGGTGACCGCAGCTCCGGGTTGAACTTTTTTGGAATTATAACGTTTAAAATCGTGTTGTTTCCGTGTTGTTTTGGCAGAGACACGCGGGTGTGACAGAGGAGGAATCACGCAGCGTCACGAGCGAACGAGCCCGGAACAAAAGCCACGTTTTATTGGAGATTAGCATTAGCATTAGCCTCGGAGCTAACGGCGCGTCAGGTGTTTCCGGTGACTTTGGCTCAGGTGAGTTGAACCTGTGAAAAGCGCCTCCACCTACAAATATTTCAGTTATTTTATTTTATTTACTTCTGTAAATTCTGAGATTTTATTTCTGTTCGTAAGTTTATTTTGGTTTGTAAACGACTCATTGAATTCAACCCGAGGAGGATAAACGTGACTCAGGTTTTACCCTCACGGAAAAAACGTTTGATTTGAATATTTAAACAATAATAAAACCACAAGTGTAAAGGTACTACAACAAGTACTACAACAAGTACTACAACAAGTACTACAACAAGTACTACAACAAGTACTACAAGTACTACAAGTACTACAACTACTACAAGTACTACTACTACAAGTACTACTACTACTACTACTACAAGTACTACTACTACTACTACTATAAGAACTACTACAAGTACTATTACAAGTACTATTACTACTACTGCTACTACTTAGAACTACAGCGGAAATTATGTAGTCCACTTCTAATCCTGGTTTAGACCTGGTTTATTTCTGGTTTAGTTCTGGTTTAGTCCTGGTTTAGTTCTGGTTTAGTCCTGGTTTAGTTCTGGTTTAGTCCTGGTTAGTCCTGGTTGTAGTCCTGGTTTAGTCCTGGTTTAGTTCTGGTTTAGTCCTGGTTTAGTCCTGGTTTAGTTCTGGTTTAGTCCTTCGTCTGTTTAAGCAGAGGAACTTGTGATTTGATATATTGTAACAGCCCGTGATGATATTCAGAGATTTTTGACGATACGATATCACGATATTTCGGTTATTGTCGCGGATGGACATGATCAGTCGATTAATCGATAATTGATCATTAAGAATTTCATTGATTCCGTTGATTTTACTGGACAAACTGAATGTATGTTTGTGTGTGTGTCGTGACCAAACAGGTGTGTACATGTGTCTCTGCATCAGAAGGAGCGAGACACAAACAGTGGGTCAGTCTGTAACGAACCGAAGCACAAATGTGGATTTAACCAGGATTTGTAGAAGAAATTCCACACTTTCCGTTGCGTTGGGACAAGTGTGAGTCCATGTGCACAGTGGATAAAGCAGCACATATGTTTCTGTGTCCAGTGGGAAAAAGTTTTTCCAGGTGAGAGTCGCTCAATGTGGATGACGAGGCCCCGCCCCCCTCCCCCCGTACGCTGTCCTGGTTTGACAAACACAAATCTGGTCACACTGACCTGTATTCACCTGAGTCATGTCTTTTAATCCAACACAAGTTGAACCACATCAGCGACACAAGAGCTGGAGTTTTATCTTCACTTAGTTTATGTAAATTAGTGATGTGGTTTTAAGTTTTGTTTCTGTGAGATTTGAACAAAACTGAATTAAACACATTATAATGTCAAACAGCTGATGTGGCTCTAGAGTCGTTATGTTTATATGTCGTAAAGTTGAATTTATTTATACAGATTAGTGCAGATTAGGGACGGGCATTCGATTAAATTTTCTTAATCGATCGTCGGAAGAATTAACGATCGATAATCCATTAATCATTAACGTTTTTATATTAAAATGATCATCATTATTATTACTATCTGCACTAGGGATGGGCATGATTAATCGATTAATCGATAATTGATCATTAAGAATTTCATCGATTACGTTCATTTTAATGGACAAACCGAATGTATGCGTGTGTGTCGTGACCAAACAGGTGTGTACATGTGTCTCTGCATCAGAAGGAGCGAGACACAAACAGTGGGTCAGTCTGTAACGAACCGAAGCACAAATGTGGATTTAACCAGGATTTGTAGAAGAAATTCCACACTTTCCGTTGCGTTGGGACAAGTGTGAGTCCATGTGCACAGTGGATAAAGCAGCACATATGTTTCTGTGTCCAGTGGGAAAAAGTTTTTCCAGGTGAGAGTCGCTCAATGTGGATGACGAGGCCCCGCCCCCCTCCCCCCGTACGCTGTCCTGGTTTTGACAAACACAAATCTGGTCACACTAACCTGTATTCACCTGAGTCATGTCTTTTAATCCGATGTCGTAAAGTTGAATTTATTTATGCAGATTAGGGCAGATAGTAATAATAATGATGATCATTTTAATATAAAAACGTTAATGATTAATTGATAATCGATCGTTAATTCTCCCGACGATCGATTAAGAAAATTTCATCGAATGCCCGTCCCTACATAAACATCTGTGTTGCGGTTTCATCATGGTCCATGTTTACGCAGAATCCCGGTTACTGCAACATAAAGATCTGCATTAAACCTGCACATGTCTGATCTGTGAAAACATCACGACAGAAACACAGAACAGACTCAGCATCAGCAGAACCTCCCTCTGTCACAGGGAGAACACTCAGATTCCACTGAGTCACTGTGTCCTTTAGTCCAACACAAACTGAACCACATCAGACACAGGAACTTTTTCTCTCTCCTCTCAGTTCATATAAATGAGTCACGTGGTTTTAAGTTTAGTTTCTGTGAGATTTGCACAAATCTGCATTAAACACTTTATAATATCAACTGATGTGATTCTAGAGTTTATGTTTATATGTCGTAAAGTTGAGTTTATTTATGCAGATTAGTCACAGTAATAATAATGATGATACTTTATATTATATAAAAAACGTTAGTGATAGGGCTGAGTATCATTAAGAAGTTACCGATACAATACATATCTCGATACAGTGCACTTTCAATTCGATATGATATATTTCAAATCGATTCGATACAGTTCAATAAAAAATAAAGTCTAAATCATGTCTGTGACACTAAAAGTCTTTGTTAAACCACGTCTTCTTGTGCAAAGTGAATATGAAACAAAAACATTTAACCCTCAAAACTGTGAAAATGTCAAATGTGTCGCATGCACTGCAAAAAATAAAATCTAGCCAAGTTAAGATGACTTGAATTAAGAAAATTTTACCATAATTTGAGTAAATTCCACTTGACAAGTTAAATTATCCATCAGCAGAACATGTCTTTTGTACCTAAAATCTGAAGATACAACACAAAAACAACAACCCTTAAAATAAGAAATGAAATTGAATGTCGCTTGAATTTAGAAAAACACTTATTCAACTGGTCGAGTCGACTCAAATAAAGTCAAATGTTCTTAATTTTCATTTTAACAAACCTTTTTGCCGTGTGAATGAGTTTCCTTCCACTAAACAAACAACAAAACTGTAGCTGTAACAAAATAATTTAGTAAAATACACCAAAAATACTCGATACACGATATATCGATACAGCAGCCCACGATATCGATACTGTATCATTACATTAAACGATACGATATATCGATATTTCAGTATTTTTGCACAGCCCTAGTTAATGATGAATCAAAAATCGATCGTTAATTCTCCCAACGATTAATCAGATTCCATCAAACGCCCGTCCCTAGATACGATATCACGATATTTACAGTTCTTCTCGTGTTGACGGCGTCTGACCTGGTGTGTTGCCGCAGCCGCCCCGGGGCAGTCCGACATGTCCGGCCTGTCGTCCTACGCCGTGAGGATGGCCCGTCTCAGCGCGCAGATCTTCGGGGAGGTGGTGCGACCCACGGACGCTCGCTCTCTGAAGGTGGTGCGTCTGTTCCAGGAGCAGCCTCTGGCCAAACAGAAGGAGGTGCACGACTGGTACCCGCAGCACAAGGTCTACTACGCCATGACCCACAAACTACGCTTCCTCGGCCTCTTCAGGTCAGAGCACACGAGCACATACACACATATATACACACACACACACACGCATATATATACACACACACACACACACGCATATATACACACACACATACACACACACATATATATTTATACACACATACACACACATATATACACATATACACACGCATATATACACACACATACACACACACATATATACACACACACACGCACACATACACACATTTATACACACATACACACATCATATATCACACACACACACACATACACACATACACACATACACACATACACACATACACACACACACACATACACACATACACATATATACACACACACACACACACACACACATATATACACATCACACACACACATATATACACACACACACATATATACACACACACCACACACATATATACACACATACACACACACATACACACACATACACATACATACACATACATATATATACACATATACATACACACACATATATATATATATATATATACACACACACACATATATACATACACACATATACACACACATACACACACATTATATACACACATACACACACACACACACATATATACACACACACACACACACATATACACACACACACACACATATACATACACACACACACACACACATACACACACACACACACACACACACACACACACACACACATACACACATACACACATACACACACACACATATACACACACACATACACACACACACACATACACACATACAGACACACACATACACACACACACACAAAACACATACACACAACACACATACACACACATATATACACACACAACACACATACACACATGTACATATACACACACACACGGGCACACAGGGGCACACACACACACGGGCACACACACACACATCCAACTGAGTCTACATTTATATGCTGAGGGTCTGAACAGAAAACACAAAAGTGTCATCGCATCTTCACTTTTTCTTCGTGGTTTAGTCGAGTGTTTTCAGGAGGAAATCAGTGACACAAAAGTGTGTGAATTGGATTGTGTGAGTTTGTCTTTGTTCACACACAAGTTTTCACTCCACATATTTTCATCAGCTCCTCCTTCCACAAAGTCGTCCCACCGTCCACTGGTTCTCCAGGTCTGGTCCAGAAACGTCTGACTCGACTCAGACGACCTGGTGCGTCCAAAGTCTGACAGAGGTGATTGTAGATCCTCCTCTGGTCACTAACAGTGTCTCTGCACATTCAACACATTTGTTGGGACGTTTGTTTGTGTGTTTTGAGTGTTTGTGGCGTAAACTTGTACACGACCTGAGCACATGTGACCAGAGTTTTGTGTCTTGGGCAGTGGAGACGGAAACTCTGCGGTGGAGCCTTTTCAACTTTTACACTCTGGAGGTGGTTTCAGATTGTTGCGCTTGGACTCGGTCTTGTCTTGGTCTTAAAGGAGCTTGGATTCGGTCTTGTCTCGGTCTTGAAAAGGAGCTTGGACTTGGTCTCGTCCCGGACTTGAAGGAGCTTGGACTCGGTCTGGTCTCAGTCTTGAAGGAGCTTGGACTCAGTCTTGTCTCGGTCTTGAAAAGGAGCTTGGACTTGGTCTCGTCTCAGTCTTGAAGGCGTTTGGACTTGGTCTTGTCTCGGCCTTAAAGGAGCTTGGACTCGGTCTTGTCTCAGTTTTGAAGGAGCTTGGACTTGGTCTCGTCCCGGACTTGAGGTCTGACACTCATCAGTGTGATCATATTTCAGCTGCTGTTGTCGGTGATAAACTTGTGCAGGAACAGTTTTTTTTTACAGTTTTGAGTAAAGTTCTGGTGGGCTTCTCAAACTGTGGGTGAGCGTCCAAAAAAAGTTTAAGATAAAAAAAAAAAATAAGATAAAAAATTTAAGATATAAAGTCTTAAATCTACCAAATCCCTGTGTTGTTTGTTCATTTGTTTTTCAAAATAAAACCAAAAATAAGAAAGCGAAAAAAAAAAACAATTTTCTTCGTTATTTGTCCCCAAAACTAAAATGAAAAAACAGATAACGGACTGAACCAGGACTAAACGAAACCAGGACTGTTTTAGTCCTGGATCAGTCCTGTTTTTGTCCTGGATCAGTCCTGGATCAGTCCTGGATCAGTCCTGTTTTAGTCCTGGATCAGTCCTGTTTTAGTCCTGGATCAGTCCTGGATCAGTCCTGTTTTAGTCCTGGATCAGTCCTGTTTTAGTCCTGGATCAGTCCTGGTTCAGATTAGGATTCATTTATTTCGTACAGTCCTTTTGTTTTATTGACATATTTAAAATATATATATTTTTTTAAGTTAATATTTGTATTGTCCATATTATAGACTCAGTGTTGTGACATATTTCAGCCACTGGGGGGGGCAGTGACCCCCCCTGACCCCCTCAAACTCCGCCTATGCTACACTCTTTGGCAAAATCTGGCCCAATCAAAATGGACGGAGCGCATGAGTTTAACCCAAAATAAAGTTCGTATTGGACACTTGTTTTTCCGACGTCATCATGCAGCGAGTGACCGAGGCGAATGATGGAAATCTGCTCGGAAAGGTGCAACTGTCAGTTATTCAAGGGAAAAAAATTAAGTTTGTGTCTTTTGTTGTCGTAAAGTTCTGCGTGGTTTTGTAAAACACATCTGTCGGTCTGGAAGTAGCAGGTGTCCAGTGGCTGCTCCAGCGAGGATTTAAAGTCGTGTTTGTGTCTGTGTGAATTAATATTTAAACCCATTTTTTGTTTGTTTTTCTAAACTAAATTGGGACAGAATTTGTGCAACAGTTTAGTCGAGCAAATTTAAACTGATCCGTGAGCATCCACCTCCACGAGACTATGGAAGCCCATTTCCACCAGTAAATAAAAAATAAAAGCCTCACGGAAAGTCATAATCACGAGTTTAAAGTCATAATTACGAGTTTTAAGTCATAATTACGAGTTTAAAGTCATAATTACGAGTTTTAAGTCATAATTACGAGTTTAAAGTCATAATTACAAGTTTATAAGTCATAATTACGAGTTTAAGTCATAATTACGAGTTTAAAAGTTGTAATTACGTTTTAAGTCATAATTACGAGTTTTAAGTCATAATTACGAGTTTTAAGTCATAATTACGAGTTTTGAGTTTAAAAGTCATAATTATAACTTTCTGTGAGGCTTTTATTTTTTATTTACTGGGAGAAATGGGCTTCCGTACGAGACAGACCTAAACCTGAACTTCAAACCTCACCAAGAATCCCCCGTTTCAGAACACGTTTGTAGAGATCTTGAACTACAGGCAGAGCAGCTTTTACCCTGAATAAAACCTAAGTACACACGGGGAGGGCACCTGACACACACGGGGAGGGCACCTGACACACACGGGGAGGGCACCTGACACACACGGGGAGGGCACCTGACACACACGGGGAGCAGTGTGAGTTAAATGTTTTGTGGTTTTGTGGTTTCAGGGATGAACACGAGGACTTTAAAGAGGAGATGAGGCGACTGCGTCAACTGAAAGGAAAAGGAAGACCGAAGAAAGGAGAGGGAAAGAGAGCCACCAAGAAGAAATGAAAACTCTGGAAAAACTCTGAAAACTGTGTGTGTGTCTGTGTGTGTGTGTCTGTGTGCGCGCTTTAAGTCCATGTTTCTTTTTTTTTTAGGTGTAAGTAAATAAATGAAATATTCAAACGACCAAGACTGTTTTGTGTCATTAAGATTAGACAACTGTTTTAGAAAATGTACGAGAGGAGGAGAGACAGAGGAGGAGAGACGGAGGAGGAGAGACGGAGGAGGAGAGACAGAGGAGGAGAGACAGAGGAGGAGAGACAGAGGAGGAGAGACGGAGGAGGAGAGAGAGGAGAGAGAGAGGAGGAGAGACGGAGGAGGAGAGAGAGGAGAGACGGAGGAGGAGAGAAGGAGGAGCAGAGGAGGAGGTGCAGTGAAGATGTTCCTGGTTGGTTTTGTTCTTCATTTCTTCTGGTCGGGTCTAAATTGAGTTAAAAAAAAAAAAAAAATATCCAACAGCTTCAGTATTTAAAGTCATAATTTTGAACTTTTCTGTTGTTATGAAGATTACTTTAATTTTTTATGGTAATAAAAACACCTGTAGTTAAATAAATGTACAATAGTCAAGTTTAACGCCAAACTGTGGAACATTATGTCCATGGAGACAAGATGGTGTTAGATAATCCAACAGAAAAGTTTCATAGTGTGATTTATTAGGCAAGAAATAAAATATCTCTGACATTTATTATTACTATTAATAATAATCATCATAATCATCATAACAATAATAAAAATAATGATCATTAATTTTATTAACATTTTTATTATAATAATTCTGTTCTCGCTGTCTTCGATCCTCGGTGTTTATTATTTTTATTTTTATATTTTTATTTTAATAATTGTGTTCTCGCAGTGTTCGGTCCTCATGTTTATTATTTAGATTTTTATATTTAGATTTTAATAATAATAATTGTGTTCTCGCAGTGTTCGGTCCGGTGGTGTTTATTATTTTTATATTTATATTTTTATTTTAATAATTCTGTTTTCGCAGTGTTCGGTCCTCGTGTTTATTATTTTTATATTTTTATTTTAATAATAATAGTTGTGTTCTCGCAGTGCTCGGTCCGCGGTGTTTATTATTTTTTATTTTAATAATAATTGTTCTCACAGTGTTCGGTCCTCGGTGTTTATTATTTTTATATTTTTATTTTAATAATAGTTGTTCTCGCAGCACTCGGTCCGCAGTGTTTATTATTTTTATATTTATATTTTTATTTTAATAATAATTGTTCTCGCAGCGTTCGGTCCGCGGTGTTTTTTATTTTTATATTTTTATTTTAATAATAGTTGTTCTCGCAGTGTTCGGTCCGCGGTGTTTATTATTTTTATTTTTATATTTATATTTTTATTTTAATAATAGTTGTTTCTCGCAGCACTCGGTCCGCGGTGTTTATTATTTTTATTTTATATTTTTATTTTAATAATAGTTGTTTCTCGCAGTGTTCGGTCCTCGGTGTTTATTATTTTTATTTTTATATTTTTTATTTTAATAATAGTTGTTCTCGCAGTGTTCGGTCCTCGGTGTTTATTATTTTTTATTATTTATATTTTTATTTTAATAATAGTTGTTCTCGCAGTGTTCGGTCCTCGGTGTTTATTTTTTTATTTTTATATTTTTATTTTAATAATAGTTGTTCTCGCAGCGTTCGGTCTCCGCTGTGTTTATTATTTTTATTTTTATATTTTTATTTTAATAATAGTTGTTCTCGCAGTGTTCGGTCCTCGTGTTTATTATTTATATTTTTATATTTTTATTTTAATAATAGTTGTTCTCGCAGCGTTCGGTCCTCGGTGTTTATTATTTTTATTTTTATATTTTTATTTTAATAATAGTTGTTCTCGCAGCGTTCGGTCCTCGGTGTTTATTATTTTTTATTTTTATATTTTTATTTTAATAATAGTTGTTTCTCGCAGCGTTCGGTCCTCGGTGTTTATTATTTTTATTTTATATTTTTATTTTAATAATAGTTGTTCTCGCAGCGTTCGGTCCTCGGTGTTTATTATTTTGATTTTTATATTTTTATTTTAATAATAGTTGTTCTCGCAGCGTTCGGTCCTCGGTGTTTATTATTTTTATTTTTATATTTTTATTTTAATAATAGTTGTTCTCGCAGCGCTCGGTCCTCGGTGTTTATTATTTTTATTTTTATATTTTTATTTTAATAATAGTTGTTCTCGCAGCGTTCGGTCCTCGGTGTTTATTATTTTTATTTTTATATTTTTATTTTAATAATAGTTGTTCTCGCAGCATTCGGTCCTCGGTGTTTATTTTTTATTTTTATATTTTTATTTTAATAATAGTTGTTCTCGCAGCGCTCGGTCCTCGGTGTTTATTATTTTTATTTTTATATTTTTATTTTAATAATAGTTGTTCTCGCAGCGTTCGGTCCGCGGTGTTTATTATTTTTATTTTTATATTTTTATTTTAATAATAGTTGTTCTCGCAGCATTCGGTCCTCGGTGTTTATTATTTTTATTTTTATATTTTTATTTTAATAATAGTTGTTCTCGCAGCGCTCGGTCCTCGGTGTTTATTATTTTTATTTTTATATTTTTATTTTAATAATAGTTGTTCTCGCAGCGCTCGGTCCTCGGTGTTTATTATTTTTATTTTTATATTTTTATTTTAATAATAGTTGTTCTCGCAGCGCTCGGTCCTCGGCTCTCTGGCGCCCCCCGCAGGCCGCTGCTCGCTCTGCTCCTTCACTCTCGCAGTGTAAAATGGCGGCCGTGAGCAGCGCGGAGTCTCCACCGGCCGTGTTCAACGGAGCCGAGGCCGTGGACCGAGAGCCCGCGGGCCGGGAGCGGGGGCTGGACGAGCTGGACGCCGCCTGCCCGACGGAGCTCAGCGGAGGCCCGCAGGACGAGGAGGTAGGCCCCGGGGAGGAGGCGGGAGGCTGAGGCTGAGGCTCAGGACCATGTCCCACTTTGCGCCGGATCGTTTTGCATTTTCTGCTCAAATCCACTTTTCCACGACTGTCCCCGCGTCCCACGCGTGCACACACGGTCCATCCGTCCACCCGCGGACCTCAGACCGCGTCCCGTCCGTGACCGTGCGCGGCTCCGGTGCATCAGGCTCCGACCGGAGACACCGGAGACACCGGAGACAGCTACAGGACGAGCCGCACGGCTCGAACCAGCCCGCTCCCACTGCGCTTCACGCCCGCTCCGGCCCGCTGCGGCCCGGGTGATCCCCCCGCGGAGCCCGCCTCTGGTCCGGGCTCCGTGCGGCCGCGGAGGGAGCGGAGGGAGCGGGGTTAGCAGCAGCGCTTAGCCGGGCAGAGTTAGCGCAGGGCCCGCGGAGGCTGCGAGCATCACCGTGCGCACCGCGGAGCTCCGGCACGTCCCGGCCACGAACCCTCCGCTTCAGACCGAGACTAGACCAGGATCTAAACCTGGACCGGGACTGGGCCGGGACTAGACCGGGACTGGACCGGGACTGGGCCGTGTGTTTGTGGTGACGGGGCTGTGGATGTGCTGCAGGTGCAAAGTGCAGTTTGAGCTGAGAAACACAAAATGAGAGCTTCTGTGCAGGATGAGCAGCTTTTCCACGGGGAGGGCATCTGACACAAGAACCGTCTGTAGAAGTTTAAATGTCAGCGTCCGCAGGTCACGCTCACATCATCTACATCCACACTGGTCTCCTCAGATCTTTCTCCAGCTCCTCGTCGTTTCTCCTCACTGACCCTCTGAAGTTTGATTTGGACGGATTCATGTTTGAGGAACCTTTTATTTCAGTCTTTTTATTTTCAAGACTAGAGAGTCCAGACGTCCCTGTGTCCCCGGGACAGTCCCAGTCCTGAACCTGTGTCCCCCGTCCCACAGATTAATACAAAAACACTGATCTGTCCCAGTGTCTCAGAACCAGACCAAACCCGGACTAAACCAGGACTAAACCAGGACCAGGACTAAACCAGGACTAAACCAGGACCAAACCAGGACTATCACAAGTTTTGACTGATCTGATCTTCACCAACAGTAAGGAGGAGCATAAATTGTCTTTATTTAGTGTGAAATCCCTCGGTCGTCCAGGTAGAATCCACGACAAATTCAAGGAGAAATTCAATATGTCAAGTGGACAAAATAAACTTTTAAGTGAATTTCTCTTTTACCGTCATTTGTTTCACCAAAATACAGAAATCCGTGTTTGCAAATGACCAAAAAAACCTCAGAAAAGTCCCTCAGATCTCGCGTGGTCACGTCGGTCAGGATCTCACACGCTCTTTTCACGATTTTATTTACGGACGCTCCTGGTTGGTTTCGTTCTTCGTTTTTTCTGCTTGGCTCCAAATTGAGTTTGAAAAAAAGATTGTCCAACAGCTTCAGTATTTAAAGTCATATTATTGAACTTTTCTGTTAAATAAATGTACAATAGTCAGTTTTAACGCCAAAATGTGGAACATTATCTCCATGGAGACCAGAAGGTGGCAGATAATCCACCAGGAAAGTTCCACAGTGTGATTTATTAGGCAAGAAATAAAATATCTCTGACATTTATTATTATTATTATTATTATTATTATTATATATATTTGAATGATTCTTCTTCTTGTCTGTGGTCGTGCGTTGTTCAGCGTCGCCCAAAGTTTTTCACTTAATCTGATCCCAACAGTGAAGAGGAAAATAAACTGTCATTTGTTTTGTCAAAAAAAGAGATAAAAAAGTGTTAGTCCTGTTTAGTCCTGGTTTAGTCCTGGTTTAGTCCCGGTTCTGTCCCGGTTTAGTCCCGGTTCTGTCCTGGTTCTAGTCCTGGTTCTGTCCTGGTTTAGTCCCGGTTCTAGTCCGGTTTAGGGTTTAGTCCTGGTTTAGTCCTGGTTTAGTCCCTGGTTCTGGTTTAGTCCTGGTTTCCGTCCCGGTTTAGTCCTGGTTTAGTCCTGGTTTAGTCCTGGTTTAGTCCTGGTTTAGTCCCTGGTTTAGACCTGGTTTAGACCTGGTTTAGACCTGGTTTAGACCTGGTCTAGTCCTGGTCTAGTCCTGGTCTAGTCCCGGTTCTGTCCTGGTTTAGTCCTGGTTTAGTCCCTGTTCTGTCCTGTTTTAGTCCCGGTTTAGTCCTGGTTCAGTCCTGGTTTAGTCCCAGTTCTGTCCTGTTTAGTCTTTGTCCCTCAGGTGATGATGGACATGAGTTTCCGTGATGTTTCTCGCTCTTTTCACGATTTTATTTTACTAGAACTGCAAATTATTCGACCAAATAAACATTAGTGCAGTGGACAAAATGAATTTCTCCTTTTGCCACATTTTATTTCTACAAAACCGTCCCGGTCCAGAACCCGGGTTCCTCTGGTTCTGTTGATATTCAGTAAGAACGAAAAACAATAAAATGTGAAAACAGTTTATTTAATTTTTCTGTTTTAGTGTCAAACAAAACAAAAAAAACAGATTTCAACCTCGATTTCCAATATTTAATTTAAAGTTTATTTCAAAAAACAGTTTTGGTGATTATTTTAATGTTGATATTTGATTGTCTCTTTTGGTTTATTTAAAGTTTTGCTGCTGAAGGACGAACCTGAAAACGCGTTGCAGTTTTCGTGGACAAACATGTTTTTTCTTTTACAGCGTCGCGTTCAGTTTCACGTTTTAGTTTTAACAGTGACTCTTTGCACTCGGAAATAGTTCATATAGTTTAATTCAAAATGTCTGAAAAACGCAAAAGAAGCTCATTGTGCTCGATTATGAAGAGTAGGGCTGGGATTAAAGAAGTTTTCTTCCTCCTACTAATTTTTGGGCAAAAAAAATAACTAAAATAAAAAATAATAATAATAACAATATATTATTATTATTATTTTTTTTTTGTTATTTTCCTTTCTATTATGATTTCACTGAAGTTAGATGTTTCATTGTATATGAATATAAATATTTACTTGCCCAAAATAAATGCATAAATAAAAATAATAAATAATAGAAAGTCACTGTTGAACTCGACGAGAAACTCTCCTGTTCAATCGACTCCACAGAAGTGTAAATAAAAATATATATATATATTATAATGAAAGTTTTGATCGCAGAACCACGTCAACTCTGGATTCACATGAGCAGCAGAAAAACCAGAGGCAATCAAATATCAAATTTGAAATTAACTTTAAATATTGGAAATCGAGTTCGAAATAAATTTTTTTGATACTAAAACAGAAAAATGAAACAAACTGTTTTCACATTTTATTGTTTTTCGTTCTTAATTGAAATTCAAAAGCACAAATTTGCACATTTGCGACTCGGGTCTGTCCCAGTTTAGAATTTTGAAAATCTGGTCGCTCTTTTCAAGACGCCGTTTTGTCGATCTCCACCGTTTTCCGCTCCATCGGTCCACGCGCGCTGTGTCCTCAGGGGTCAAAGTGATCCCAAACCAGAGATCGTTTTTTCCTCTTGTAGACACCATCAAAAATGAAACAAACGCCAAAAGTCGCCAAAATCACCACTAACGTCACACAATCCTCCTCACTACCAACATTTTTAACAAATATTGGTGCATCTTTTATACTGTTGCAGTTTAGCGCTCATCAAACCACGGAAGTGCGCCGAACACTCTGAACCAATCACAGAGCGGAACATTCGCCGAGCCAATGAAATGCTTCGATGCACTGAAGCGATCGACACGCAGAGCGAAGCGGTAGGAGGAGGGACCCACACTTCCACACTTTGGTCACGTGAGCGGCTGCTGCGAGACGAGCTCCGAGGCAGAAAGAACGAGACGAGCTCCGGAGCTCCGGCTCTTTTGCCCATCACTACTTTCTTAAGCTCTAAACTCTGAGAATTGGAAAGAAATAGTCTAAAATGTGCACGAGATTCGAGCACGTCCGCAAGTTCAGGCTGCTTCAAATGTTTTATTAACGCCAAATAAAATCTCCAGCACAGATTATGTACGATAGGCAAACATGAATCATTTGTATTTTTTACTTTACACTCAGATTTAGTAGGGATGTAACAATACCCGAAATATCGTGATATCGTATCGTCACAAGTCTCTGAATAATATCGTGGGCTGTCACAATATATCGAATCACAAGTTTCTTTGCTTAAATTTGTTGTTTTGGTGCAGTAACAGCTAAAAGAAACAGAGGGAACTACATGGACCATGATCCTTTGCTGCGTTTCAGTCCAATTTACTCTATGAAATGACTTATTAACTCTTTAACTCTTTGATTTATGACAGAACCAAAAGCTCGTCAAGACATTTTTAAAGGAGAGTAGTACTGTATGTTCACTATTCTGTTTTTCTACAAAATATCGTAAAAATATCGTACGGAGAAATGTGGATATCGTTACGTCCTCAGTGTTTAGTTTAGTGCATGTTTAGGGGCTGCAGTTTACCGGGCCGCCCGCGCCGCCTCGAGTCCCGCAGGTGGACACTACGAAGACGCGCCACTTGATGGATTGTCGGAGCGTCATGGGTCGTGGACGTCTGGGCGAAGGATCAGTCGGGATCAGTCTGGAGTGTCATTTGTATGAAAATAAACGAGAGAATTCAACATTACTGATATTGCGCCTAAGAATCCAAAATATCCAGTAGGTTATTTTTTCAACCCCAGAGTTTGTTCTGCTCCCTGCTCCTCTTCCAGGTTTTAGACTTGGCTCAGTCCTGGTTTAGTCTTGGTTTAGTCTTGGTTTAGTCCTGGTTTAGTCCTGTTTTAGTCCTGGTTTAGACGTGGTTTAGTTCTTTTTTAGTCCTGGTTTAGTCTTGGTTTAGTCCTGGTTCAGTCCTAGTTCAGTCCTGGTTTAGTCCTAGTTTAGTGCTGGTTTAGACCTGGTTTAGACCTGGCTTAGTCCTGGTTTAGTCCTGGTTTAGTCCTAGTTTAGTGCTGGTTTAATCCTGGTTTAGTCCTGGTTTAGATCCCGTGACCCAGAACCTAATAACATCAGTCCACTACGCATCTTTGAGTAATCTAGTGATCTCCTATTCAAACCAGGTACGAGGCTCTGCCCCCCCCCCCCACGCTCCAACACGACAGTCCTCCACAAACACACAAAAACCACGACACAAAACTGTCCACAGCGACTGGACAAACCTGACGCGATGTGCAGGGGTTTCATTATTGGGACGTGCTCTGAAGGGGGAGCGACTTAGCCCAGTGTGGACGTGTCTCTGACCCGTGTCTCTGTGTCTCTTTGTCCTCATGTCCTCGTGTCCTCCTCAGATCTGGAACATTAAACAGATGATCAAACTGACCCAGGAGCATCTGGAGGCTCTGCTGGACAAGTTTGGAGGAGAACACAACCCCCCGTCCATCTACCTGGAGGTCAGACCAAGACCGGGACTAGACCGGGACCAGGACCAGGACTACACCTACACCTAGACCCGGACTTGACCAAAACTACACCAGGACCAAGACTCTAGACCAAGACCCTGACTCTAGACCAAACCTAGAGACTAGAAGCAGGGACTAGGACTGGAACCAGACCCACACCTGGAGACTAGACCTGGACTAACCCCGGGTTCTGACTCTGGCCCCAGCCTCTTGACTCTGGACTCAGGTTCTGACCCTGTCCCCGGGGGTTCTGACCCTGTCCCCGGGGGTTCTGACCCTGTCCCCGGGGGTTCTGACCCTGTCCCCGGGGTTCTGACCCTGGACCCGGGGATTCTGACCCTGGACCCGGGGATTCTGACCCTGGACCCGGGGATTCTGACTTTGGACCCGGGGATTCTGACTTTGTCCCCTGGGGATTCTGACTTTGTCCCCTGGGGTTCTGACCCTGGACTCGGGGTTTCTGACCCTGGACTCGGGGTTCTGACCCTGGACTCGGGGGTTCTGACCCTGGACTCGGGGGTTCTGACCCTGGACTCGGGGGTTCTGACTCTGTCCCCTGGGGTTCTGACTCTGTCCCCTGGGGTTCTGACTCTGTCCCCGGGGGTTCTGACTCTGTCCCCGGGGATTCTGACCCTGGACTCTGGGGTTCTGAGTCTGTCCCCGGGGGTTCTGACTCTGTCCCCGGGGATTCTGACCCTGGACTCTGGGGTTCTGACTCTGTCCCCGGGGGTTCTGACTCTGTCCCGGGTTCTGGTTCTGACCCGGCTGTGTCCTGCAGGCGTATGAGGAGTACACGTCTAAGCTGGATGCCCTGCAGCAGAGGGAGCAGCAGCTGTTGGAGGCGATGGGGAACGGCACGGAGCTGTCGTCCTCCCCCACGGCGGGCACGGGGGGCTTGGGGGGCACGGCAGGCACAGGGGGCGCGCTGGATCTGCAGGAACCGTGCGCTCACACTTTCACCTCGGCGCCGAACACTTTAAACGTGATCCAGACCCCGTGCGACGTGAGCCGGGTCAACCCCCGCTCCCCCCAGAAACCCATCGTCCGAGTGTTCCTGCCCAACAAGCAGCGCACAGTGGTCAGTCTGTTGTTGTTATTATTATTATTATTATTTCTATAATTATTGTTGTTATTTTTATTATTATCATTATTATTATTATTACAGCGCACAGTGGTCAGTCTGATATCATTATTATTATTTCTATTATTATTGTTGTTGTTGTTATTATTATTATTATTATCATTATTAATATTATTATTATTATTACAGTGCACAGTGGTCAGTTTCAGGACTACATTTATTTATGTATTTTTTATGCATTATTATTATTAATCGAGCTAATAAATCGAGTCTGTTAGCTCACATTAGCTGTGGGCGACTCTTTTCTGTCAGTTTGACTTTTACATGTTAAATGTTGTTTCAGAAAGAAAAGAAAATCTAAACATCACTACAAAGATTTTAGAGACATTTTCTCTCCACAAACTCAAACTGAACACAACAGAACGACGTAAAAACATGTCTCACCGTTTACTGCGGCGCCGACATCTCCCCCCCCCCTTTGGCAGAGGGAGGAGGACACTTCAGAGTTTAGAAACGTTCAGATTTCTGTCTTAACGCTAATGCTAACGGTAATGCTAACGCTAAATGCTAATGCTAACGCTAATGCTAATGTTGATACATAATAAATATTAAAAGAATCACAAACTGGAATATTCTTTAAAAACAAGTGTTTAGTCTGTGGAAGATTTGTTTGTTTCATCAGATTTTGAATTTTGAACACTGTAGAATTTCTCACTTTGAATGTTTTAAATTTTAAATTATTTTTATTCTGAATTGAAGTTGCTGAAAAATGTTCATTTTCAAAGTGTTTAAAATTTTAAAAAGTGCTCGTGCTTCGGCGTTTTGGATCTTTGATGTGAATTTGTGCTGAAGATTTAAAAGGTTGAAATTTTAATTTTGAACTTGAAACGTATTGAAAATTTTCATTTAAAAACTCAGCAACTCAAATTCAGAATAAAAATAATTCACATATGTTTGTGAGAAATTCAGCGGTATTAAAATTCAAAATCTAATCGAACAAATTATCTTTAGAACATTTAGAACATTTAATTGGTTGTTTATTTTATATTTGACAGTTTCTAGAAAAGTGACTAAAACTGTCTCGTGTCCCCCTGGTGTGTCCCTCTCGTGTGTCTCTCGTGTGTCCCTCGTGTGTTCGTCATGTGTCCCTCACACATGTCCCTCTCGTGTCCCTCATGTGTCTTTCGTGTGTTCCTCATGTCCCACTCACATGTCCCTCTTGTGTCTCTCTCGTGTCCCTCATGTGTCCCTCTCACGTGTCCCTCGTGTGTCCCTCTTACATGTCCCTCTCACATGTCCCTCGTGTGTCCCTCTTACATGTCCCTCTCACATGTCCCTCGTGTGTCCCTCTCACATGTCCCTCTTACATGTCCCTCGTGTGTCCCTCTCACATGTCCCTCTTACATGTCCCTCGTACATGTCCCTCGTGTGTCCCTCTCACATGTCCCTCTCACATGTCCCTCTCACATGTCCCTCACATGTCCCTCACATGTCCCTCACATGTCCCTCGTATGTCCCTCGTATGTCCCTTGTGTGTCCCTCTCACATGTCCCTCTCACATGTCCCTCTCACATGTCCCTCTCACATGTCCCTCGTGTGTCCCCAGGTCCCCGCTCGTTGTGGAATGACGGTCAGAGACTCGCTGAAAAAGGCTTTGATGATGAGAGGCCTGATCCCAGAATGCTGCGCCGTCTACAGAGTCCAGGACGGGTCAGACACACGACACACTACACACACATACTCTACACACACTGTACACATACACACATACACACACATCACACAACACACACATGTCTACAGAGTCCAGGACGGGTCAGACACACGACACACTACACACATACTACACACACTGTACACATACACACATACACACACATCACACAACACACACATGTCTACAGAGTCCAGGACGGGTCAGACACACGACACACTACACACATACTACACACACTGTACACATACACACACATCACACAACACACACACGTCTACAGAGTCCAGGACGGGTCAGACACACAACACACGACACACACACACGACACATGACACACACACACACACACACACACACACGTCTACAGAGTCCAGGACGGGTCAGACACACACACGACACACTACACACACACACTACACACATACTACACACACACTACACACACTGTACACATACACACACATCACACAACATACACACATCTACAGAGTCCAGGACGGGTCAGACACACGACACAACACATGACACACACTACACACTATACACACACACACACACACTATACACACACACATCACACACAACATATACACAACACACACACACACACCACACACACACTATACACACTACACACACACACACACACACACACACTATACACACTACACACACACACACAATACACACACAACACATTACATACACACACTACATACACACTGTACACACACTACACACACACTACACACACACTACACACACACACACACACACTACACACACACAACACACTACACACATTACATACACACATTACATACACACACTACATACACACTGTACACACACTACACACACACTACACACACTACACACACTACAACACACTACACACATTACATACACACACTGCACACACAGCACACACACACACACACTACACACATACAACACACATACATACACACACACTACATACACACTGTACACACACTACACACACACTACACACACTACACACACACAACACACTACACACATTACATACACACACTGCACACACAGCACACACACACACACACACTACACACAGCACACACACACACACACACACACTACACACACACACACACACACACACGTGCTGATTGGTCGCTGTGCTCAGGGAGAAGAAGCCGATTGGTTGGGACACAGACATCTCGTGGCTGACGGGAGAAGAGCTCCACGTGGAGGTTCTGGAGAACGTCCCCCTCACCACACACAACTTTGTGAGTGTGAACTTTGGGCTGATCCGAACACTGCAGGCCTGTGTGTGTGTGTTTGTGTGTTTGTTTCTGTGTGTTTGTGTGTGTGTGTGTTTGTTTGTACAGTGGAGGCTGGAATGTTCCGCAGTGTGGCATTAAACCGTTCTATCTTCACGGAGACCGGGTCAGATCTGTGGAGAGGCGTCCCTGCTCACAGTCACATCTGTGTTTCTCTGTGTTTTTGACTCTAAATCCTCCTGTGATTGAGTAAATGTAAAGTGGAGCTGTTTAAAGTCACACTGTGGAACATTCCAGACAGAACAGTGACGTCTCCATGGAAACAAACAGGTGACAGATCCACAACCAAAAAGTTCCTTTAATATAGATTAAACTCTAACTATAACTATTACTCCTACTACTACTAGTACTATTACTACTATAACTACTACTTCTACTATTATTATTGCTACTTCTACTACTATTACTGTTGCTACTACTACTAGTACTATTACTTTTACTTCTACTACTATGAGTCCTATTAAGAAAGTACTATTGAATGTTGAAAATCACACTTTAGTGTACAGAAGTACTCCTCTGTACTGCAGTACTTTTCCTGTGTACTGCAGTACTCTTCCTGTGTACTGCAGTACTCTTCCTGGTTAAACTCGGGTGTGTTTTTGTTGCAGGTGCGTAAAACCTTCTTCACGTTGGCGTTTTGTGACTTTTGCCGGAAGCTTCTGTTCCAGGGTTTTCGTTGTCAAACCTGCGGCTACAAATTTCACCAACGCTGCAGTACAGAGGTCCCCCTGATGTGTGTCAACTACGACCAGCTCGAGTGAGTCTCACACCACAGAGCCCCCGGACCTCACCTGGACCTCGCTCTGACCCGGACCCGGACCTCGCTCTGACCCGGACCCGGACCTCGCTCTGACCCGGACCTCGCTCTGACCCGGACCCGGACCTCGCTCTGACCCGGACCCGGACCTCGCTCTGACCCGGACCTCGACCTCGCTCTGACCCGGACCTCGCTCTGACCTGGACCTGGACCTCGCTCTGACCCGGACCCGGACCTCGCTCTGACCCGGACCTCGACCTCGCTCTGACCCCGGACCCGGACCTCGCTCTGACCCGGACCCGGACCTCGCTCTGGACCCGGACCTCGCTCTGACCCGGACCTCGCTCTGACCCGGACCCGGACCTCGCTCTGACCCGGACCTCGCTCTGACCCGGACCTCGATCTCGCTCTGACCCGGACCCGGACCTCGCTCTGACCCGGACCCGACCTCGCTCTGACCCGGACCCGGACCTCGCTCTGACCCGGACCCGGACCTCGCTCTGACCCGGACCTCGCTCTGACCCGGACCCGGACCTCGCTTCGGACCCGGACCCGGACCTCGCTCTGACCCGGACCTCGCTCTGACCGGACCCGGACCTCGCTCTGACCCGGACCCGGACCTCGCTCTGACCCGGACCTCGCTCTGACCCGGACCGGACCTCGCTCTGACCCGGACCTGGCTCTGACCCGGACCCGGACCTCGCTCTGACACGGACCTCGATCTGACCCGGACCTCGCTCTGACCCGGACCCGGACCTCGCTCTGACCCGGACCCGGACCTCGCTCTGACCTGGACCTCGCTCTGACCCGGACCCGACCTCGCTCTGACCCGGACCCGAACCTCGCTCTGACCCGGACCCGGACCTCGCTCTGACCCGGACCTCGCTCTGACCCAGACCCGGACCTCGCTCTGACCCGGACCCGGATCTCGCTCTGACCCGGACCTCGCTCTGACCCGGACCTCGCTCTGACCCGGACCTGGACCTCGCTCTGACCCGGACCCAGACCTCGCTCTGACCCTGACCTCGATCTCGCTCTGACCCGGACCTGGGCCTCGCTCTGACCAGGACCTTGACCTCTCTCCTCTGACCTGTGACCTCTGACCTCTCTCCTCTGACCTCTGACCTCTCTCGTTGCAGTTTATTGTTCGTGTCAAAGTTCTTCGAGCACCATCCGTTCTCTCAGGAGGAAGTCTCCTCAGAAGGAACCACCCCAGTGTCTGAAGTCTGCCCCTCCCTGCCCCCCTCAGACTCCACCAGGTCAGAACCAGAACCGGGACCAGGACCAGGACCAGACCAGGACCAGGACCAGACCAGGACCAGACCAGGACCAGGGACTGAACAGTGTTGGGGAAGTGACTTTACAAAAGTGTTGTTTGCTCGTTACTTCTTTAAAAAGTAATCCCTTATTTTATTTAGTGACTCCCTGTGGAAAGTCACTTTTTACGTTACTCGTTACTTTGGTACTTTTACTCGTTACTTTTACTCGTTACTTTGGTACTTTTACTCGTTACTTTTACTCATTACTTTGGTACTTTTACTCGTTACTTTTACTCATTACTTTGGTACTTTTACTCGTTACTTTGGTACTTTTTGGTGGTAAACTCCATCTGAGGCTAAATCCAGCACAAGACCAAAAGTCGACAAGAACCGTGAGAGAAAATGGAAAAGATGTTTGCAGAGAGTCTCAGAGTAAACGAGCGAGGTCAGTCCCACCCGGGGTGAGCTGAAGGTGGCACGCCGTGGGTGCCGTGGGTGCCGTGGGTGCGTGGGTGGGTGCCCGCTGCGCCCTCTCGGGGAATTGAGCCGGGACCGACCTGCAGACACAGAAAAGTAATGTTGCAGTAAATTGCAAAAACGCTTCATTACCAAATTTTCAGTAGTGGCACGTTACACAATTTTACGTTAAAAAAAAATACTTTTAACATTACACCAACACAGGGACTGGACCGGGACTGGACCGGGACTGGACCGGGACTGGACCGGGACTGGACCGGGACTGGACCGGGACTGGTGGTTTAGTCTCTGTCGGTGATGGTCCTGGACAGGTTTTAAATTGTGTTGTTTTTTTTTTTCCTCCTGTTTTCGCTCCACTCCTGTGCTCTCACTCACCTGTGCTCCCTCTGGCGCCCTCTGGTGGTCTCTGGCGCCCTCTGGTGGTCTCTGGCGCCCTCTGGTGGTCTCTGGCGCCCTCTGGTGGTCTCTCCGTCCGTCTGGTGCCCTCTGGTGGTCTCTCTGTCCGTCTGGCGCCCTCTGGTGGTCTCTGGCGCCCTCTGGTGGTCTCTCCGTCCGTCTGGCGCCCTCTGGTGGTCTCTGGCGCCCTCTGGTGGTCTCTCTGTCCGTCTGGCGCCCTCTGGTGGGCAGGTCGCTGTGCCACGCCTCCGTCTCGCCCTCCAAGTCCATCCCGATCCCGCCCAGTTTCCGACAGAGCGCGGAGGAAGAACACCGGAACCAGTTTGGACAGAGGGACCGGTCGTCCTCCGCCCCCAACGTCCACATCAACACCATCGAGCCGGTCAACATCGACGTGAGTCCCGATACCGATACCGATACTGATTAGAGATGTAAACAAAAGATCGTACCTCTGCTGTGTCTTGGTGCACTCTGCAGGAAGTAACTCTTATTAAACATTTTTACATCTTAATTATTTGTGTTATGACAGAAAAGTCTTTCTGTAGGGAGTATTATCTGTTACATAATGATGAGTTGTACAGTTGTAGGGAGTATTATCTGTTACATAATGATGAGTTGTACAGTTGTAGGGAGTATTATCTGTTACATAATGATGAGTTGCACAGCTGTAGGGAGTATTATCTGTTGGACAAAGACAAAGTTTCTAAGCCTGGTCTAAGTTCAGGACTCGTTCTAACGGTGGGTCTAGACTCGTTCTAACGGTGGGTCTAGACTCGGTCTAACGGTGGGTCTAGACTCGGTCTAACGGTGGGTCTAGACTCGGTGTAACGGTGGGTCTAGACTCGGTCTAACGGTGGGTCTAGACTCGGTCTAACGGTGGGTCTAGACTCGGTCTAACGGTGGGTCTGTTGCAGGACCTCCTCGGGGGACAGAGTCTTCAGCGCTCGGACGGAGGTGAGAACTTTTCCTCTTTTATTTTTCTGTTTGTGTTTCTGCATCAGTTTGTCTCCATCAGTGTCTCCAGCGCCCCCACACTACTGCACACAGTACTGCAGCAGAGTACTGCAGAGTACTGCAGAGTACTGCAGAGTACTGCAGAGTACTGCAGAGTACTGCAATGAGCACTGCACAAAGTACTGCAAAATTACACAGGAATACTACAAAACTACACAACAGTACTGCAAACTACTGTATTTGGGAGAGGAGCAGGGATGGTAGTGGTAGTAGTAAAGAGACAAAATAAAAATGTTGATAAAGTGAAACGTAAACACACTCAGTCGTCACAAACGAGCAGCAGAAGAGGCGGCCATTTTGGATTTAGCCCTTTGCTAATGTTTACATCTGACTCGAGCCGTGGCTCTTCAGGCTCCGATTTACCAACAGTTCAGGAGCCATCAGACCAAAATATAACAGAAGAGTAGTAGTAGTAGTAGTAGTAGTAGTAACAGTAGTAGCAGTAGTAGCAGTAGTAGCAGTAGTAGTAGTAGTAGCAGTAGCAGTAGTAGTAGTAGTAGTAGTAGTACTTATAGTACTTTTATTAGTAATAGCAGCATTAGCAGCTTTAGTTAGTCTGGGTGATGTTGTCTTGTGTTCTCCACAGCGGCGTTAGCGGCGTTAGCGGCGTTAGCGGCGTTAGCGGCGTTAGCGGCGTTAGCGGCTGATGTTGACCAGACGTCCTCTTTTTCCTGGACCTGTCCTCTTTCTTGGACCAAAAAAGCGTCCAGGAGAAATGTCTAAACTCTCAGTCGACACTTTTCTTGGTTTTGGTGACACTTTTGGCTCTTCTGATCAGACACGATCATGGATCCACAATAAAATCTTATTTTACTTCCACATACACATCAGTGAAATACAGAAAAGCCCACAGCCCGATACAGAAAAACACATTTGTAATATTAAAGTCAAACACCAACAGAAATCACGGCTTACAAACTACAAACATCGCCACTTTATTGTTCCCAAACCTGGTGTCCTCTGTGATAACTAGAGCTGTGCAAAAACATCAGAATATCGATATATCGAGTAATTTAATGTGATGATACAGTGTCGATATCGTGGGCTGCTGTATCGATCACCCAGAGGATTTTTTGGTTTATTTTATGAAGTTATTTTGTTCCCTCTGCTACATTTTCACAGTTTTGAGGATTAAAATGTTTGTGATTCACATTCACTTTGCATAAGGTTTAACAAAACTTTTCAGGTTCGTTCAGACGCGGCGTCAGAGCGTCCAGGTCACATGTGAAGTCTGTTTACATGCAAAGTCCAAGTGTGTGCGTCCAAAACGCGCATCCGGGGCGTCTAAACTCAAATGTAAATATGGAGTAAGAAAGTTTCAGAAATATTCAATATAAATCGGTGCATATTTGTAGTTGAGCATAAAGTAAATATGTGTAAACTCAGGAGTGAGTCGAGTCGTACAGAAAATGTGTTGTGTGGATTTTATCATCAGAATATGAAAAGTTACAACGTCAAGAAAAAATGAAAATGTACGATTACACTTTGAGTTTGTGTTCGTTCTGAACAGATGCAACTCGACTGTCAAAAATACAACATCACTTCACAGGACTGAACCGGGACTGAACCGGGACTGGGTGTCAGGAGGTGGACCCGTGTAGACCGTCAGGTGACCGCAGGAGAGAGGACCGGCTCAGAGCTCCACAGGGCCAAGTGCAGCCGTCGCCCGATCACGCTTTGAGGACACTCTGCTCCATGGCTCAGGGTTCTCCCTCTCAAGTCCAAGACTAGATCTGGTTCAGTCCTGGTTCAGTCCTGGTTCAGTCCTGGTTCAGTCCTGGCCTGTGAAGTGATGTTGTATTTTTGACGAGTCGTGTCTCTGAATTCGTGTTCGTTCTGAAGAAAGTGTAATCGTACATTTTCATTTGGTGATTTTAATTCTTGACGTCGTAACTTTTCACTTCATATTCTGTTGATAAAATCCACACGACACATTTTATGTACGACTCGACTCGACTCCAGAGTTTACACAGATTTATTTTATGCTCAACTACAAATATGCACCAATTTCTATCAAATATTTCTGAAAGCTTCTTACTCCAGATGTAAAGACCAACTCAAGGCGTCCAGCTCGTTTTTTGACGCTCTGGTCTGAACAAACCTTTAGCCACGATTTAGACTTTATTTTTATTGAACCGAATCGAATCGAAATAAATCGTACTGAACCGAAAGTGCACTGTATCGAGATATTTATCGTAACAGCGACTTCATGAAGCAAACCCCTAATCTGGTCACCCTCTTGTTTGCTCTACAGCAGTACTAGTGACAGTAGTAGTAGTACTAGTATCAGTATCAGTAGTATCAGTAGTAGTAGTACTAGTATCAGTAGTAGTAGTACTAGTATCAGTAGTAGTACTAGTATCAGTATCAGTAGTAGTAGTAGTAGTAGTAGTATCAGTAGTAGTAGTAGTATCAGTATCAGTAGTAGTAGTAGTAGTAGTATCAGTAGTAGTAGTAGTAGTAGTATCAGTAGTAGTAGTAGTATCAGTAGTATCAGTAGTAGTAGTAGTAGTAGTAGTATCAGTAGTAGTAGTAGTATCAGTAGTATCAGTAGTAGTAGTAGTAGTATCAGTAGTAGTAGTAGTATCAGTAGTAGTAGTAGTATCAGTAGTAGTATCAGTAGTAGTATCAGTATCAGTAGCAGCATTAGCCTGGGTGATGTTGTGTTGTCTGCTCTTGCCCACAGCGGCGCTCTCCGCCCGTCCCTGCCGCGCCGGCGTGCGGAGGCAGCGTACCCGGACGTGCAGCCCTCTCCTTTACTCCTTCCCCAATGACATAGTGTTTGATTTCGAGACTGAGCCAGACTTTGGAGGTAGTCAGGCGTTTGTGTTTCACCTCCTCCTTCTCTGTGTCCTGTGTGATCACCAAACACCACTGCAGTATTTGTACTAGTACTAGTAGTAGCAGTAGAAGTAGTGGTAGTATTTTCATGTGTCACCTTCTCTCACCACTTTGATGTTTTCTTGATTTGGGGTTTGGAATTCTTCTGTCAATCAAAAACACAATTTCGGGTTTCAAATCTTTCTGAAGGGGTTTTCCACAAAGTTAGCAAACATTTGTAGTTTATACCATTTGTAGTTCATATAAACGGACATGCTAACGTTCCGAACAGGAAGTGATCATGGGCAGGATTTGGCTCCGTCGCCGTCGCGTGTTGGTCTGACTCGGCTCCACGTGATCCTCGGGTTTGGACCCAAATTCAGATCTGAACATTTTGAACAGACCAATCAGACGCCTTCTTTCACCGAGGCCCCGCCCACTAGTGTTTGATTGGCAGGTTTGGGCGTTACCTTCGACACCCTCGCTCCTGATTGGCTCTTTGGGGATTATTATATACGTGACTGGAATTCCAAATCTAAAAATCCCACCGTTCCTCCGACCCTCGTGAAACTCAAACTTGGATTATTTCAATTTAAATTGTTGGACTTTTGTGGAAAACCCGTCACACTGTAGATCAGACGCTCAGGGTCACTGCATGAGACCAGAGTCCGTCTGTAGGCCTCACGTCAGGTCCAAGGCCTGGTTTAGTCCTGGTTTAGACCTGATCTAGTCCTGGTTTAGTCCTGGTTTAGTTCTGGTTTAGTCCTGGTTTAGACCTGGTTTAGACCTGGTTTAGTCCTGGTTTAGTCCTGGTTTAGTCCTGGTTTAGACCTGGTTTAGACTTGGGTTAGTCCTGGTTTAGTTCCTGGTTTAGTTCCTGGTTTAGTCCTGGTTTAGTCCTGGTTTAGTTCCTGGTTTAGTCCTTGTTTAGACTTAGACTTGGGTTAGTCCTGGTTTAGTTCCTGGTTTAGTCCTGGTTTAGTCCTGGTTTAGTTCCTGGTTTAGTTCCTGGTTTAGTTCCTGGTTTAGTCCTGGTTTAGTCCTGGTTTAGTCCTTGGTTTAGTTCCGGTTTAGACCTTTAGAAGACCTGGTTTAGTCCTGGTTCAGTCCTGGTTTAGACCTGGTTTAATCCTGTTTTAGTCCTGGTTTAGTCCTGGTCTGGTTCCACCCTCTTTCTCTCGTGTTTCAGGTTCTACCTCTGGTCTTTCGGCGACTCCTCCGGCGTCTCTGCCCGGGTCCCTCACCAACGTCAAAATGCCCCAGAAATCTCCCTGCCCACAGAGGGAGCGCAAGAGCTCGTCCTCCTCCGAAGACCGCAATAAAATGGTACCGGGACTGGACGGGGACAGGACCGCGACAGGACCACAACTGGACTACCTGCTGGACCGCGACTGGACCACGACTGGACCATGACTGGACCGTGGACAGGACCGACGACTGGACACGACTGGACCACGACTGGACCATGACTGGACCGTGACAGGACCACGACTGGACCGTGACAGGACCACGACTGGACTGCAACAGGACCGCGACTGGACCACGACTGGACCATGACTGGACCGTGACAGGACCACGACTGGACCACGACTGGACCATGACTGGACCGTGACAGGACCACGACTGGACTGCAACAGGACCGTGACAGGACCACGACAGGACCAAACAGTTTTTGTGAAATATTTACACAAAAATCCACATTATTATTATTATTATAAAAAAAATTTCGCTGCTCGTCCTCTCGTGTTCATTGTCTTTTCTTGGCATTTTGTTCAGAAAACTTTGGGTCGGCGTGACTCCAGTGACGACTGGGAGATCCCCGAGGGTCAGATCACTCTGGGCCAACGCATCGGCTCCGGGTCCTTCGGAACCGTCTTCAAAGGGAAATGGCACGGTAAGAACAGCAGGGGGCGGGACCGAGGCCAACGGGGGGCGGGACCGAGGCCAACGGGGGGCGGGACCGAGGCCAACGGGGGGCGGGACCGAGGCCAGCGGCCATCTAATGAATAAATAAATCAATCAATACGTAAATCCTGAGGGGGTGTGTTCAGTCTTTGGGCTGGTTGTGTATCTTAACTCTTTCCCCCATGAAGACGACATTTGACGACCCTCGTGTTTCCTTAATGACGACTTCTGACTCCTCCGCTGTTTCACTAAAGACGTGATTTGACGACCTTTAGAAACGGCTCGGTTTTTCACATGTAAACATAGAGACTGTGATTGGTCGGGGCCACTACAACCCACACTAGACTGACCAATAGGATTCAAGGAGATGTTTTCGCAGATTTTTTCCCAAGTTAATCGAAGTTGTGACGATGGAGCTTCCGGAAAAAACACAACACGAAACACGTGCAATGGAAAGATGGCGGCGCTGCGGCGCACAGTTTTAGAAATAATGAGGAGCGGACGTATTTTATGGATAAGTTTAGAGAAAGTGACTTTTATAGATTTCAAAGTGATGATGAAGTTGATTATAAAGTGGAAAACAGCGACGGACTTTCAGAGAGTGAAACTTACGAAGGTGAGAATGCAGCTGATGCGTCTGTGTGGAGTCCTGCGATGTCCAAACAAACTATCTGAGCTTTACACTCGATTATGAACCAAAATTGCCCTGAAATCTGGATGTTGCTCAGGCGAGTCCTTTGAAATATTTCAGTCTTTTTTTCTAAGATGCGACGTTTAACAGAATCACTACAGAAAAAAACGCTTATGTGGAGCTCTGCACACGAGAAAATAACCAAGATGATAAATACTGGACACACACTGGCGGGGAAGAGTTTTTATTATTATATTAATTATATTATAATAAGATGAATTAGTTGAATAATCTAAATGAAGTTGAATAAGTTTAAATATGATATATATATTGATATATCTGTGGAGAGGCGAGCCCTGTCTGTTTTTCTTGTCGTTTTTGAGACGTAAAACCTCCTGTGATTAAATAAACGTAAAGTCGAGATGTTTAATGTCACACTGTGGAACATTCCAGGCAGAGCAGTGGTGTATCCATGGAAACAAGCAGGTGACAAACCCCCAGCCAAAAAGTTACACAGTGCAGCTTTTAAAAGTGTTGTGTTTCCAGGCGACGTCGCGGTGAAGATGTTGAACGTCACAGCTCCAACTCCACAGCAGCTCCAGGCCTTCAAGAACGAAGTGGGCGTGCTCAGGTCAGTGTGACACTCAGGTCAGTGTGACACTCAGGTCAGTGTGACACTCAGGTCAGTGTGGAGTCGGTCAGTTGTCAGGTCTCAGGTCAGTGTGGACCTCAGGTCAGTGTGGACCTCAGGTCAGTGTGGACCTCAGGTCAGTGTGGTCAGGTCAGTGTGGACCTCGGGTCAGTGTGGACCTCAGGTCAGTGTGACGCTCGGGTCAGGTGACGCTCGGGTCAGCGTCGGGTCAGCGTGGACCTCGGGTCAGCGTGGACCTCGGGTCAGCGTGGACCTCGGGTCAGGTCTGTGATGGTCTGGACTCACTCCAGGTTTAGTTTAGTTTAATTTAGGTTTAGGTTTAAGTTTTTTAGTTTAGTTTTACATTTCTCATTTCTTATTTTATTTATTTGTAAAGGAACAGTCCATATTAATGAACATTAAAAATGTAAATATGCAAAGATTCGAGCCAATGTGGCTCATTTCCATCTTCAGTCCCTCGGCAGGTTGATGTAAAATCATCTCATCATCATCAGTCGAGCTGCCGTCTGTGAGGAAAAGTGGAGACATAATCAGGAAGTCCATGTTAGCATGCTAGTTGCTCCTCTCAGGTCTGAGAGTGAAACGTTCTTGTGGTGGTTCAGAGCGTCTCGTTCATGTCCTACGTGGACGAGCGTCCGGGCGTCCTGTGGTTTTGTGGCGCTTCTTCAGGCGTCAGCGCGACGAGAACCTGGTGATGAAGCGACGAGTCTGGAGCGTTCAGGCATCGACGCATCAACCAATCAGAGACGAGGATACAAAGACGTAGTGATGTCATCACCTGAGAAAAGAAGAAGAAAGAGAAAGACCCGAGAACCACAAACACCAAAACAAGAAACTTTACACCAGGACTGAACCAGGACTGAACCAGGACCGAACCAGGACCGAACCAGGACCGAACCAGGACCGAACCAGGACCGAACCAGGACCGAACCAGGACCGAACCAGGACCGAACCAGGACTAAACCAGGTCTAAACCAGTGTCATTAGTGGAGTATAAATCTACACTCTTCGTCGTCGTCAAACTCCTTCACTGTTGTTTTTCTGTAACAAAAACACTGAAGTTTTTCTTTCGACCGGGAAAGACGTCACTCGCCGACCACAGCGACGCCCTGGACACACGGCGAGAATTTTTCTCCCGTTGGTGTCCAGAGTCTAAACTCGAATGCAAAGGTTTGAGCGCAGCTTTATAAAGTCGTGGTGGTGAATAATTAGGACACTGTGAATGCAGAAGGGAAAAGAGGAAGAAGTTTGGAGCTCTGCAAACTGTTTTAAATGAACTAGTTCTGTTTTTATGTTTTAAATACGGAAAACAAATCAGGTACAGAGATTTTAAATGTGATCATTTAACAGTCAGATGCTCTTTAAAGCTCCTGAAGCTCACAAACTGACTCCTGGAGCTTCAAGTCATGTTCTAATGTTCTAATGTTCCACACACAGTCCTCCTCTTGAAATATTTGTTGGTTTCTTTTTGTTTCTCTTCAGGAAAACGCGTCACGTGAACATCCTCCTGTTCATGGGCTACACGACCAAACCGCAGCTCGCCATCGTCACCCAGTGGTGTGAGGGCTCCAGCCTGTACCACCACCTCCACATCATCGAGACCAAGTTCGAGATGATCAAACTCATCGACATCGCACGGCAGACGGCGCAGGGCATGGAGTAAGAGAAAAACACGCTAGAAACTGACTAAAAACATGGTAAAACACGGTAAAAACACATTAAAAACAGATTTAAAACATGATAAAAACACACACTCAAAGAAGCAGATGGGCAGGGCATGGAGTAAGAGAAAAACATGCTAAAACTGACTAAAAACATGATAAAAACAGACTCAGAGACACATAAAGAGGCAGACAGCGCAGGGCATGGAGTAAGAGAAAGACACGCTAAAAACAGACTAAAAACATGATAAACACACTAAAAACAGATGAAAAACATGATAAAAACATGGTACAAACAGATTAAAAACATGCTGAAAACAGACTCCGAGACACACACAAAGAGGCAGACTGTGCAGGAGGAAGTCAGAAAAAAACTGACTAAAAACATGATAAAACCACACACAAAGAAGCAGATGTGCAGGGAATGGAGTAAGAGAAAAACACGCTAAAAACAGATTAAAAACATGATAAAAACACACACTCAAAGAAGCAGACGGGGCAGGGCATGGAGTAAGAGGGACATACGCTGAAAACGGATTAAAAACATGATAAAAACACGGTATAAACAGATTAAAGACATGCTGAAAACACACTTCAAACAGACTATAAACATGATAAAAACAGACTCAGAGACACATAAAGAGGCAGACAGCGCAGGGCATGGAGTAAGAGAAAGACACGCTAAAAACAGACTAAAAACATGATAAAAACACACTCAGAGACACACGAAGAAGCAGACAGCGCAGGGTATGGAGTAAGAGAAAAACACGCTTAAAACATGCTAAAAACAGACTAAAAACATGATAAACACACTAAAAACAGATGAAAAACATGATAAAAACACGGTACAAACAGATTAAAAACATGCTGAAAACACACTTCAGACAGACTATAAACATGATAAAAACAGACTCAGAGACACATAAAGAGGCAGACAGCGCAGGGCATGGAGTAAGAGAAACACGCTAAAAAACAGACTAAAAACATGATAAACACACTAAAAACAGATGAAAAACATGATAAAAACATGGTACAAACAGATTAAAAACATGCTGAAAACAGACTCCGAGACACACACAAAGAGGCAGACTGTGCAGGAGGAAGTCAGAAAAAAACTGACTAAAAACAATAAAAACACGAAGCAGAATGGATAAGAGAAAAACACGCTAAAAACAGATTAAAAACATGATAAAACACACACTCAAAAAGCAGACAGGGCAGGCTAGTAAGAACATACGCTGAAAACGGATTAAAAACATGATAAAAACACGGTAAAAACAGATTAAAGACATGCTGAAAACACACTTCAAACAGACTATAAACATGATAAAAACAGACTCAGAGACACATAAAGAGGCAGACAGCGCAGGGCATGGAGTAAGAGAAAGACACGCTAAAAACAGACTAAAACATTGATAAAAACACACTCAGACACACGAAGAAGCAGACAGCGCAGGTATGGAGTAAGAGAAAAAACACGCTTAAAACATGCTAAAAACAGACTAAAAAACATGATAAACACAACTAAAACAACATGAAAAAACATGAAAACGGTACAAACAGATTAAAAACATGCTGAAAACACACTTCAGACAGACTATAAACATGATAAAAACAGACTCAGAGACACATAAAGAGGCAGACAGCGCAGGGCATGGAGTAAGAGAAACTAGAGGTGAGATCGGGCCTAAAAAATCCAGCCCGACCCGACCCGGCCCGCGGGTATTAAAACCCGACCCAGCCCGAGCCCGACCAATTAACTTGATTTGCAGGCCCGAGCCCGAAGCAAACCCGAAATGTCATATTTTATTTGTGAGGACTCGGGAGGAGGAGGGTGATTTATAAATAGGAACATTTTCAGGAACACACTTTTTTAATTAAAAAAAATCACACTATAGGCCCCTAACGTAAGAACAGGCCTGCTGTAAAGAGTAATTTAACATAATTTATAAATAAATAAGCTAGATAAAATACGTTACTAATTTAAATAAATAAGTACAAAAATAATGTGTGAAGACCATTATTAAAAAAATAAAGAACCAAACAAAGTTAAACATGTGCAAAAATAAGCCTACTAATAATTACAAATAACTCAAACAAGAAAAACACTATCATGTTTAAATAAAATGCAAAAGCTTAGTGAATGTATAATACAATAAATGTCAAACATGAACAAACAAATATATGTTACAAATTGTGCAAAACCATAAACCGAATAACAGAGTTTAAGATGCTGCCTGGCCTTGCCTATAGTCTGCAAATTGCGGCCTCGTGACCTGCTCTTTACTCCTGTGAAATAAGGGAAATAATTATAGCCACAGAAAATAATTAAAAAGGCAATTTGAACAGCAGGATTTTACTTGCATTGTTTATATTTTGTGGTCGTCATGCAGGAATAAGATCGCGTCCACTGTGCCAGGTTTCAGTGAAGTTCTCCGCTGATCTATCGTGTGGCCAGCTGCTCTAAAAACTCGCTCGCTGCTGCTGCTTGCGGGTATGCACAACACTGATCTTGCTAACTTGGCAAGCTTCGGGTATATACTGGAGTTTATTCTCCACCAGCCAAGCAAATCTCGGTCATCAGCCATGGCATGCCTTTGACTAATGTACATGTTAACCTCATCTCGAACAGGAGCATCATTGTCATCATCCGCGTTTTCCCACTCTGCGAAAAAAGAACTACTTCTTCGTTTTGATGCAGGTTGAGAAAGGGTGCTGGTGTGCTCCTCGTCCTCCTCGTTTTCAAAAGATGTAGTGGTGACTTCTCCGTCATCTTCTTCCAGGAGTGTGCAGACATGTGCATGCACCTCTGACACCTCTGTCAGTGTCATCATTTTGAGTTTGTTGAAGGTAGGCCACAGGAACAGTGCAACTTTGTGCAACATATGTATTTAGATTTTTTGCTCCAAAAGTTCAGAATGCCTGTGGCGCACAAACGCCTGCTGAGGATTATCCGTAGAACTGGGTTGGCAGTGCTTTTTTAGCTTCTCATTCCAGAGGCAAACTAGATTCAGTGTGGTATATTTATCTCCTTCCAGTTCTCGTTGTGCTGCATAGAAAGGCTCTAGAAAGGAGATCAAAAAATCTAACAGATCTGGCGCAATGTTGTCCATGCGCTCCTCCTCCCCGCGTGACTGCAGCTTCTCACACAACTCACTATATATCTCGCGCACAGACTTGAGCATCAAGTAAACGGTGCTGAATCTGGTTTCGCCCATCTGGAGCACTGTTTTTGATAGTTGTGCTGCCAAACCAGATTGCTTGATGAAACGGACAACACTCTGGGCTGCACTAATGGTTTCTCCAATGTCTGGGGCGTTTGCAGACAGTGCGTCCTTGTCCAGCCCACGGCGAAGTACAGTGTTGATCACATGGTCAAGGCAGGAGAGGCGCTTGTAAGGCTCCAAAGCTTTCACGATGTTACTGCCCTGATCTGTAACCCACACTATTCTGGATAAAGATGAAGGTTCCAAACCAAATCTATTCACCAGAAGCCGGACCAGTTCTCCTCTTATATTCTTCCCCGTTGTGGCGTCTTCTGCTGGAAATACAGCAGTGGTGAGGGTTTTTCCAACCAAGTTGAATTCCGTTTCAGTAAAGTGACAAGTTATTGCAATATAACTCATCTTTCTATAATCATCCGTCCACATATCGGTACTCATGGCCACGTCACAGCCACTTGCCAGAGATTTCTTTACCCGCTCAATTAACAAGCCCCTTTTTACCTCAGCCTTCTCGGTGCACGCCTTTGACACTGTGGTGTAGTGGGGCAGGACCGAGTCGACAGGTACGCGGCCAAAAGTTGACCCAACATTGATCAGTTCTTGGGCCAGACTTTTGAAACCTTCGCCACTAACTACTGAAAATGGTCTAAGGTCCTGACAGCAAAAGTCCACGCACTTGTCTGTGATGACCTGCTTAGCACGAAGAGGAGGGGTGGTCTTTGAAACAAATGATAATATAGATGTTTGACGATCATCACTTTTGCCAGTACAGCTGTTTAAATGCCTGCTCAGCGTCGAGGTGCCAGTCTTTTTGCTCTCGTATGAAAGCAAAGCGCCACATTGACGACATTCAGCGAAGCCAACGCAAGTTTCTGTAGCATTTTCAACAATCAATTTGAAGCTTTTCCACACCTCACTCTTACCGGTGCGTGTTTGTCTTTTCAGTTCTCCTGCCTTTAGTTTAACTTCTTGCTCCTCCATATTGGGGACACCAGGTCAAAATAGATGCAGACTTGCGGAGGGGAAGATGATTAAATGAAGAGGGGGCGTCACGTGATCCTGTTTAGTAGTTAAATAGCAATTACATTACATTACTTCTCTGTTTTATCCAAATTATTAATTTTATAACAAGTATTCCTTAGTTTAGTATCCACACATCGTTTTAGCATACATTTTATAAACATATATTTATTTGAAAAAAAGTCAGCGAGAGAGGAGCCCGAGCCCGACCCGACCCGAAGTAATGATTGACAATTCGGGTCGGGTCGGGCTCGGGCTTGGGCTCGGTCTTAAGATCTTACCTCTAAGAGAAACACCAGAAAAACTGATTAAAAACATGAAAAAAACAGACTCACAGAGACACACAAAAAAGCAAATGTGCAGGGCAGGAAGTAAGAGAAAAACAGACTAAAAACATGATAAAAACACACAAACAAACACAGGCACAGAATGGCAGCAACAGTAAAGAGAAAGACGCACTAAAAACAGAAACAGACAAGAGAAAAAAAACAAAGAGAAAACTAAAAACACGCTTAAAACAGGCAACAAACTAAAAACGTGCTTAAATCAGACTAAAAACATGCTAAAAACACACACACACACTCAAAGAGGCAGACGTCGCAGGGCATGGAGTAAGAGACTAAAAACACACTAAAAAAAGGGATTAAAGCAGACTAAAAACACACTTAAAACAGACAACAAACTAAACACGCTTAAAAAGACTAAAAACACACTTAAATGGACTAAAAGATGCTTTAAATGGACTAAAAACACACTTAAAACTGACTAAAAACTGACTAAACACATTCACAGAGACATACACAAAGAGGCAGACGGCACAGGGCATGGAGTAAGAGAAAAACAGACTAAAACACACTTAAAAAGTCTAAAAACACACTTTAAATGGACTAAAAACACACTTAAAATGCACTAAAAAGATACTTAAAATGGACTAAAAATATGCTTAAAACTTATTAAAAACTGACTAAAAACACATTCACACAGACACACTCAAAGAGGCAAACGGTGCAGGGCATGGAGTAAGAGAAAAACACACTAAAAAAGGGACTAAAACACACTTAAAACAGACTAAAAACACACTAAAAAAGGGACTAAAATACACTTAAAACAGACTAAAACACCCTTAAAACGGGACTAAAACATGCTTAAAACAGACAACAAACTAAAAACATCCTTAAAAAGACTAAAAACACACTTAAAATGGACTAAAAGATGCTTAATATGGACTAAAAACACATTCACAGAGACACACTTAAAGAAGCAGACGGTGCAGGGCAGGTGGAGTAAGAGAAAAACCAGAACAGAACAAAACCAAAACGCTCAGAGATCGTCTCTTTCTCTTTCGTGGTAAATGAGTTAAATTTAAGAGCCGTTTCTGAGTCGGGCGTCAGAATTCTCCTATTTGTGTTTTTAATTTTGCTTTTTATTTTATTTTATTTTGAACAGAATTTCAGGTAATAACTGTGATTTGTGTTTCAGTTATTTACACGCCAAGTCCATCATCCACCGAGACCTGAAGAGCAACAGTATCCTCCACTCCTCCTCCAGGGGGCGCCACTCTCCTCCTCCTCCTCCTTTCTCTCTTTGTTCGTTTCCTTGTTCGTCTCCTTTTTTTCCTCCTTTCCTTTCCTTGTTGGTTTCCTTCTGTCTTCACTGGTTTCCTCAGTCCCCTTTCCTCCTTTGCCTCCTCGTTCGTCTCCTCCTCTATCTCCTGTCTGGTTTCCTCTCTCCTTGCCTCCTTGTCTCCTCGTCTCCTCCTCTCCTCCTGGCTGGTTTCCTCTCTCCTCATCTCCTTGCCTCCTTCTCTCTCTCCTCATTGGTTTCCTTTCCTCTCCCCTTGCTGCCTGGTTGGTTTCCTCTCTCCTGGTTTCCTCAGTTCTTCTCCCTTGTCTCCTCGTTTGTATTCTCCGTTCTCTTCTAGTTGGTTTCCTTGTTCGTCTCCTCGTCTCCTCCTGGTTGGTTTCCTCTCTCCTTATTCGTCTCCTCGTCTGTCTCCTGATTGGTTTCCTCGTTTGTCTCCTCCCCTGTCTGGTTTCCTCTCTCCTCGCCTCCTTGTGTCCTCCTCTATCTCCTTGCTGTTTTCCTCCCTTGTCTCCTCGTTTGCATTCTCCTTTCTCTTCTAGTTGGTTTCGTTGTTCGTCTCCTTCTCTATCTCCTCATTGGTTTCCTCAGCTCTTTTCCTGCCTTGTCTCCTCCTCTCCTCCTCTTTCTCCTCCTGGCTGGTTTCCTCTCTCCTCATCTCCTTGCCTCCTCATCTCCTCCTCTCCTCCTAGCTGGTTTCCTCTCTCCTCATCTCCTTGCCTCCTCCTCTCTCTCCTCATTGGTTTCCTTTCCTCTCCCCTTGCTGCCTGGTTGGTTTCCTCTCTCCTTGTCTCCTCATCTTCTGTCTCCTCCTCGCTGGTTTCCTTGTTTGCCTCCTCGTCTCCTCGTCTGTCTCCTGGTTGGTTTCCTCTCTCCTTGTTCGTCTCCTCGTCTGTCTCCTGGTTGGTTTCCTCTCTCCTTGTTCTTTTCCTCGTCTCCTCGTCTCCTCCTGGTTGGTTTCCTCTCTCCTTGTTCGTCTCCTTGTCTCCTCGTCTGTCTCCTGGTTGGTTTCCTCTCTCCTTGTTCGTCTCCTCGTCTGTCTCCTTGTTTGTCTCCTTGTCTCCTCATCTGTCTCCTGGTTGGTTTCCTCTCTCCTTGTTTGTCTCCTCGTCTCCTTGTCTCCTCCTGGTTGGTTTCCTCGTCTCCTCGTCTGTCTCCTGGTTGGTTTCCTCGTCTCCTTGTTCGTCTCCTCGTCTCCTCGTCTGTCTCCTTGTTTGTTTCCTCGTCTCCTCATCTGTCTCCTGGTTGGTTTCCTCTCTCCTTGTTTGTCTCCTCATCTCCTCCTGGTTGGTTTCCTCGTCTCCTCATCTGTCTCCTGGTTGGTTTCCTCGTCTCCTTGTCTGTCTCCTGGTTAGTTTCCTCGTCTCCTTGTCTGTCTCCTGGTTAGTTTCCTCGTCTCCTTGTCTGTCTCCTGGTTAGTTTCCTCGTCTCCTTGTCTGTCTCCTGGTTAGTTTCCTCGTCTCCTCATCTGTCTCCTGGTTGGTTTCCTCTCTCCTTGTTTGTCTCCTCATCTCCTCCTGGTTGGTTTCCTCGTCTCCTCATCTGTCTCCTGGTTGGTTTCCTCGTCTCCTTGTCTGTCTCCTGGTTGGTTTCCTCGTCTCCTCGTCTGTCTCCTGGTTGGTTTCCTCGTCTCCTTGTCTGTCTCCTGGTTTCCTCGTCTCCTCGTTCTCCTCGTCTTCGTCTCCTTGTCTGTCTCCTGGTTGGTTTCCTCGTCTCCTCGTCTGTCTCCTGGTTAGTTTCCTCGTCTCCTCGTCTGTCTCCTGGTTGGTTTCCTCGTCTCCTTGTCTGTCTCCTGGTTAGTTTCCTCGTCTCCTCGTCTGTCTCCTGGTTGGTTTCTTCGTCTCCTTGTCTGTCTCCTGGTTGGTTTCCTCGTCTCCTCGTCTGTCTCCTGGTTGGTTTCCTCGTCTCCTTGTCTGTCTCCTGGTTGGTTTCCTCGTCTCCTTGTCTGTCTCCTGGTTGGTTTCCTCAGCTCTCCTCAGACATCTTTCTTCATGAAGACCTGACTGTGAAGATCGGAGACTTCGGTTTGGCCACAGTGAAATCTCGCTGGAGCGGCTCTCACCAGTTTGAGCAGCTCTCAGGCTCCATTCTGTGGATGGTATGTCTCCTGAACATCTCAACACCTGAACACCTCAACCTCAAACATCTGAACATCTCAACACCTCAACATCTGAACACCTGAACATCTCAACACCTCAACATCTCAACATCTCAACATCTGAACATCTAAACACCTCAACCTCAAACATCTGAACACCTGAACATCTGAACACCTGAACATCTAAACCTCAAACATCTGAACACCTGAACATCTAAACATCTCAACACCTCAACATCTGAACACCTGAACATCTGAACATCTAAACACCTCAACATCTGAACATCTGAACATCTAAACATCTGAACACCTAAACATCTAAACACCTAACCCGTGTGTGACCCCTGCGTGACCTCTGTGACCTCTGCCCTCAGGCTCCAGAGGTGATCCGGCTCCAGGACAAAAACCCATACAGTTTCCAGTCGGACGTTTACGCCTTCGGCATCGTTCTGTACGAACTCATGTCCGGAGCCCTGCCCTACTCCAACATCAACAACAGAGACCAGGTACGACCCCTGACCCCTGACCCCTGCCCTACTCCAACATCAACAACAGAGACCAGGTACGACCCCTGACCCCTGACCTCTGCCCTACTCCAACATCAACAACAGAGACCAGGTACGACCCCTGACCCCTGACCCCTGCCCTACTCCAACATCAACAACAGAGACCAGGTACGACCCCTGACCCCTGACCCCTGCCCTACTCCAACATCAACAACAGAGACCAGGTACGACCCCTGACCCCTGACCCCTGCCCTACTCCAACATCAACAACAGAGACCAGGTACGACCCCTGACCCCTGACCCCTGCCCTACTCCAACATCAACAACAGAGACCAGGTACGACCCCTGACCCCTGCCCTACTCCAACATCAACAACAGAGACCAGGTACGACCCCTGACCCCTGACCTCTCGCTCTGATCCTGCTTTAGTCCTGGTTTAGTCCCAGGCTAAACTCTGTATTTCTCTGGTCTTAGATCATCTTCATGGTGGGCTGGGGGTTTAGTCCTGGTTCAGTCCTGGTTTAGTCCTGGTTCGGTCCTGGTTCGGTCCTGGTTCGGTCCTGGTTTAGTCCTGGTTCAGTCCTGGTTCAGTCCTGGTTCGGTCCTGGTTCGGTCCTGGTTTGGTCCTGGTTTAGTCCTGGTCTTGTGTGTTTCAGATCATCTTCATGGTGGGCTGGGGGTTTAGTCCTGGTTCAGTCCTGGTTCAGTCCTGGTTCAGTCCTGGTTTAGTCCTGGTTTGGTCCTGGTTCAGTCCTGGTTTAGTCCTGGTTTGGTCCTGGTTTGGTCCTGGTTCAGTCCTGGTTTAGTCCTGGTTTAGTCCTGGTTTAGTCCTGGTTTAGTCCTGGTTTCAGTCCTGGTTTAGTCCTGGTTAGTCCTGGTTTAGTCCTGGTTTAGTCCTGGTTTAGTCCTGGTTCGGTCCTGGTTTGGTCCTGGTTTGGTCCTGGTTCGGTCCTGGTTTAGTCCTGGTTTAGTCCTGGTTTGGTCCTGGTTCAGTCCTGGTTTAGTCCTGGTTTAGTCCTGGTTTGGTCCTGGTTCAGTCCTGGTTTAGTCCTGGTTTAGTCCTGGTTTGGTCCTGGTTCAGTCCTGGTTTAGTCCTGGTTTGGTCCTGGTTTGGTCCTGGTTCAGTCCTGGTTTAGTCCTGGTTTGGTCCTGGTTTAGTCCTGGTTTAGTCCTGGTTTAGTCCTGGTTCAGTCCTGGTTCGGTCCTGGTTTAGTCCTGGTTTAGTCCTGGTTTGGTCCTGGTTTAGTCCTGGTTTAGTCCTGGTTTAGTCCTGGTTTGGTCCTGGTTTAGTCCTGGTTTAGTCCTGGTTCAGTCCTGGTTTCGGTCCTGGTTTGGTCCTGGTTTAGTCCTGGTTTGATCCTGGTTTAGTCCTGGTTAGTCTGGTTTAGTCCTGGTTTAGTCCTGGTTTGGTCCTGGTTTAGTCCTGGTTTAGTCCTGGTTTAGTCCTGGTTTGGTCCTGGTTCAGTCCTGGTTTAGTCCTGGTTTAGTCCTGGTTTGGTCCTGGTTCAGTCCTGGTTTAGTCCTGGTTTAGTCCTGGTTTTGGTCCTGGTTTAGTCCTGGTTTAGTCCTGGTTTAGTCCTGGTTTAGTCCTGGTTTAGTCCTGGTTTGGTCCTGGTTTGGTCCTGGTTCGGTCCTGGTTCAGTCCTGGTCTTGTGTGTTTCAGATCATCTTCATGGTCGGTCGTGGATATTTGTCTCCAGACTTGAGTAAAATTCGCAGTAACTGCCCCAAAGCGATGAAGAGGCTGATGGCCGAGTGTCTGAAGAAGAAGAGGGAAGAGCGCCCCCTATTTCCACAGGTACTAATGCGAGTACTGCGAGTACTGCGAGTACTACAGATAATACTCCATTTTACACCTCTGACCCAAACATCTGTCTCTGTCTCTGTGGCTCTGGTTGTGTTTTTGTGTTTTTGTGGTGATTATCAACATTTCACAGCAGCAGATTTAATTTAAATGTTAAACTGTCGATCAGAACGACATGTATCTCTCTGCCCTCCTCCTCTGTCTCTCTTCTTTCTCTTCTTTCTCTCCGTCAGATCTTGGCGTCGATTGAGTTGTTGGCTCGTTCTCTGCCGAAGATTCACCGTTCTGCGTCGGAACCGTCTCTGAACCGCGCCGGGTTCCAGACGGAGGACTTCAGCCTGTACGCCTGCGCCTCGCCCAAGACGCCCATCCAGGCCGGCGGCTACGGTGAGTCACCACTTTACTCCATCCTCCATGTTCTTCTCTGGGGTCGGGTCTCGGAGCATCAGTCTGAGCAGGGAATCCCAGACTTCCTTCGCCCCAGACACTTCCTCCAGGTGTTCCCAGTCCAGAGACATCGTCCCTCCAGTGTGTCCTGGGTCTTCCCCGGGTCTTCTCCTCCCGGTGGGACATGAACACCTCCTGAGGGACACGTCCAGGAGACATCAGAACAGACGTCCTCCCCTCAGACGCTCCTCTCCACGTGGAGGAGACCCCCACAGGACGCCACGAGGGACACGGTCGAACTCCTCCTCCAGATCCACAAAACACATGTGGACTGTGCAAAGTCCCATGAACCTGGAGCCCGATGGAGAGTGTAGATCTGGTCCAGTGTTCCACGACCAGGACCAAAACCACACTGCTCCTCCTGGACCCGAGGTTGGACTCTCAGCCGGATTCTCCTCTCCAGTCCCTGACACACATCGAGGAGACTGAGGAGTGTAATTCTCCTGGAGTTGGAACACACCCTCCTCCCCCTTCTTCTACAGAGGAACCACCACCCCAGTCTGAAGGTCCAGAGGTTCTGTCCCCGACCGCCACACGATGTTGAAGAGATGAGTCAGACAAGACCCACAACATCCAGAGACTTAAGATCCTCAGGACAGATCATCCACCCCCAGAACCACTGAGGAACTTTAACCTCCTCAGTGACTTCAGCCAGAGTGATGGACGAGTCCACCTCCGAGTCTCAACTTCCTCCTCCACCAGTGAACCCAACTCACCACCAGGTGGAGCTCTACAGCTCTGCCCCTCTCTTCACCCGAGTGTCCAAGACACAACCACAAAGTCCAATCATGACCCTCTGGCCGAGGGCGTCCTGGTCCTGGTCCTGGTCCTGGTCCTGGCACTGCTGAACATGATGTTGGTTCTGGACAAACTGTGACTCACACAGAAGTTCAATAACAGAACATGACTGAGGTTCAGATCAGGAGGACGTTCCTCTCCAAGTGTCACTGTTGTCGTCCACGTGGACGTTGAAGTCCTCAGTAGAACAACAGAGTCTCAGGTCAGTGTGTCTAGTCCCTCCCAGGGTCTGACAGAAGGTCGTGTACTCGAGTACTCTGCACCTCTGTTGGGCCTGTAGGCGACACCACAGTGAGACGTGTCCCCGACCTGAAGGCACAGGGACTCGACCCTCTCGATCACTGAGGTGAACTCCAACACACGACGACTGAACTGCGGGACAATGAGCCACACCAGCCCAACGCCGCTCCCCGTCAAGGAGGAACTTTACTATTTTTCTTCATTACTTGTCTCCAAAACCAAAATGAAAAAAATGATGAGTCTTGTATTAGCGCCGAGAGCGTCAGAGCGTCAAAACGAAACCCAAAGTGAAGCTGAACCTTTGAATCTAACGGCTGCTCTGTTTTGTTTGTTTTGTTTGTTTCAGGGGAGTTCTCGGCGTTCAAATAAACGTCCTCGGCGGAATCCTCCAGAAAAACTCCAAACGAAGACGCGGAATCTGCGGCGCTTTTCCGACGAACTGAGCCAGAGACCGGAGCCGCGGCGCCGCTCGCAAAAACACGAAAGAATGTTCTCAAACCATTCGAATCTCTGTTTTTAAGAGCTTTTGGAGAAAACGAGGAAGAGGAGGAAGAAGAAAAAGACGAGAGGAAGAAACAAAAACGGAAAACCAAACAAAATCGAATCGTGTTTACGTTTGTGACGAGTTTCACTTCAGAAAACAGAAAGAAAATATCCAGACTCCCCAGAGTTTTATTTAGTTTGGTTTAGTTTAGACCTGGTTCAGTTCTGGTTCTGAAGTGCAGGTTTTTTTTTCAATTCTTTGACTGAAAATTAAGATTTAAACAGAAAAAAAAAAAAAGAAACTGAAACTTGTGAACGGAGCGGGTCGTTCCTCGGTGCAGATCCCTCGCTCCTCGTCCTCCTCGTCCTCCTCTTCGTCGTCTTCTTCCTCTTCTCCATCAGCTCCATCTTTATTTATTTGCACTTTTGTTTTTTCCTGGTTTCTGCTGTTTTTTGTTTTTTTTTGTTGTTGTTTTTTGTTTTTCTTAAGTCTCGGGTCCGACCAGCTCCAACAGAACCCAACGGAACTCTGACTCTGATCGATCCAAAAACCAGGATCTGAACTCGCTCCTCGTGTTCCTCAAGTCCAGATCCTGAAACATGAACCGAACAGAACGTTTCCTGAATGTTTTTAGAACCATCTGGATCAGAACAAGTGTCAGACACAGAGACTAATGTAAACACATGGACCTGGTTTAGACCTGGTTTAGTCCTGGTTTAGTCCTGGTTTAGTCCTGGTTTAGTCCTGGTTTAGTCCTGGTTTTAGTCCTGGTTTAGACCTGGTTTTAGTCCTGGTTTAGACCTGGGTTTAGTCCCTGGTTTAGTCCTGGTTTTAGTCCCTGGTTTAGACCTGGTTTAGACCTGGTTTTAGTCCCTGGTTTAGTCCTGGTTTTAGTCCCTGTTTAGTCCCTGGTTTAGACCTGGTTTTAGTCCCTGGTTTAGACCTGGGTTTAGTCCCTGGTTTAGACCTGGGTTTAGTCCTGGTTTAGACCTGGTTTAGACCTGGTTTAGACCTGGTTTTAGTCCCTGGTTTAGACCTGATTTTAGTCCCTGGGTTAGATCTGGTTTTAGTCCCTGGGTTAGATCTGGTTTTAGTCCCTGATTTAGTCCTGGTTTAGTTGGTTTAGACCTGGTTTTAGTCCCTGGTTTAGTCCTGGTTTTAGTCCCTGGTTTAGTCCTGGTTTAGACCTGGTTTAGTCCTGGTTTAGACCTGGTTTAGATCTGGTTTTAGTCCCTGGTTTAGTCCTGGTTTAGTCCTGGTTTAGACTGGTTTAGTCCCTGGTTTAGTCCTGGTTTAGACCTGGTTTAGACCTGGTTTTAGTCCCTGGTTTAGACCTGGTTTTAGTCCCTGGTTTAGACCTGGTTTAGTCCTGGTTTAGACCTGGTTTAGATCTGGTTTTAGTCCCTGGTTTAGACCTGGTTTAGACCTGGTTTAGATCTGGTTTTAGTCCCTGGTTAGTTCTGGTTTAGTCCTGGACACATTCTTTTTTCTCAACAAAGACTTTTTATAATTATTTTTATGGGATCAAACGGTCTGTTCCACCTGGTGATGTCATCATGTGGTGATACAGGAAGTGCTCCTCTGTGTTTTTAAACTCCACACACCTTCACTAGAATCGACTGGATCATTTTTTCATCTCTGGAGTTTCTTGATCGAACTCGACTGAACTAAAGCTGTTCAAACTGTTAAACTACCACTTCATGACATCACAAGGTGGAACACAGCGTTTTGTGTTTGAGCAGAATAAAACACAACTCCAGGTTTGTCTGCAATTACAGGAGCTTTAAAAAAAACAACTAAACTTCATGACGAGAACCTAATGAAGAACCTAAATTTTACTTTTTTGATGAGAAAAGTTCAGTTGAAGTTCTCCCTCTTGTGTGGGGTTCTTCTGGTGGTTCTTCTGGTGGTTCTGGTCGTGGTTCTTCTGGTGGTTCTTCTGGTGGTTCTGGTCGTGGTTCTTCTGGTGGTTCTGGTCGTGGTTCTTCTGGTGGTTCTGGTCGTGGTTCTGGTCGGGCCCGTTCTGTACAGCAGGTCTGCACACTCTTTTTATTTATGGACCAATCATCTGTTTTTTGTTTAGTTTTGTTTTTTTGTTGTTTTTTTTAAGGTGAACTGTTGGGTTTTATTTTGAAGGCGGGTTTTACTTTGTGCACTTTTGTGGGTGGAGACATGCCTTTTATTTTGAAGGGGAGGAAGTGGAGGTGTTTGACTGTGAATCTCGTCCTCTTTGGGCCTTAGGCGGCTCCAGCGTCGCTCCACCAGGACGGAACTACAGGAACTACAAAACTACAGGACTACAAAAACTACAAAACAATAGTACTACAAAAGCTACAGGAACTACAGAGACTACAAAAACTACAAAAACTACAGGAACTACAAAACCTACAGGAACTACAAAAACTACAGGACTACAAAAACTACAGGACTACAAAAACTACAGGAACTACAAAAACTACAGGACTACAAAAACTACAGGAACTACAAAAACTACAGGAACTACAAAAACTACAGGACTACAAAAACTACAGGAACTACAAAAACTACAGGAACTACAAAAACTACAGGACTACAAAAACTACAGGAACACAAAAACTACAGGACTACAAAAACTACAGGACTACAAAAACTACAGGAACTACAAAAACTACAGGAACTACAAAAACTACAGGACTACAAAAACAGGCACAGGACTACAAACAGGACTACAAAAAACACAGGACTACAAAAACTACAGGAACTACAAAAACTACAGGAATACAAAAAAAACTACAAAAACTACAGGAACTACAAAAACTACAGGACTACAAAAAAACTACAAAAACTACAGGAACTACAAAAACTACAAACTACAGGACTACAAAAACTACAGGACTACAAAACTACAGGAAACTACAAACTACAGGACTACAAAAACTACAGGACTACAAAAACTACAGGACTACAAAAACTACAGGACTACAAAACAACAGGACTACAAAAACTACAGGACTACAAAAACTACAGGATTACAAAAACTACAGGACTACAAAAACTACAGGACTACAAAAACTACAGGACTACAAACTACTACAAAAACTACAGGACTACAAAAACTACAGGACTACAAAAACTACAGGACTACAAAAACGACACAACTAGAAAACATGCAGATCAGTTTCAGATCTGACTTCTCTTTAAGCTGCACTGTGTAACTTTTCAGTTGAAGGTTCGTCACCTGTTTGTTTCTATGGAGACGTCTCTGCTCTGTCTGGAATGTTCCACAGTGCGACTTTAAACAGCTCGACTTTATGTTTATTCACTTACAGGAGGTTTCACGGTTCAGGAGTTTGAGTTGACACTAAAAGGTGAAAACGACTCACTGTGTAGACCTGGTTTAATCCTGGTTTAGTCCTGGTTTAATCCTGGTTTAGTCCTGGTTTAGTCCTGGTTTAGACCTGGTTTAATCCTGTTTTAATCCTGGTTCTTTCCTGGTTTTGGAGCGACGTCGTTGGCAGTTTTTCCGGATCTCGGCACATTCCTCTGCTCCTGCCTGCACCTGCCCTTACCTGTCCCCCACTGTCCCACACCTGCTCCTCACCTCCCCCACCTGTCCCACACCTTGCTCTCACCTGTCTTCACCTGTCTCCACCTGTCCCACCTCCCTTCACCTGCCTTCACTGCCCTCACCTGCCCTCACCTGCCCGCACCTGTCCCCACCTGCCCTTCACCTGCCCGCACCTGTCTTCACCTGTCCTCTGCTCCAGATCTACAAAATATTTAAAACAAACTGTAAATATTTGTACAAAGAGACGTGTGTGTGTGGGCATGTGGACAGACTGCTCCTGACAGGCCCGGGTTAGTCCCGGTTTGGACCTGGTTTAGTCCCGGTTTGGACCCGGTTTAGTCCCGGTTTGGACCCGGTTTAGTCCCGGTTTGGACCCGGTTTAGTCCCGTCTGTATCTGACCTGGTTTTAAACGAGCGACGTCAGACAAAGTTCCATTCTTATTTATTTTCGGACACTTCAGTTCACATCGGGAGTTTCTGTGGCTGAAATGTTCCGGTCGGTTCCGCCGCCCGGTTCTTTATGGTCACGTGACGTTCCTTTGCCTGAAATGTTCCGCAGCAGGGCTTTAAAGGATTCTAATGAGGGAACAACATTAGAACATCGAGCATCGAAGCGGCTTTATCGTTAATTCGGCTGTTTTCATTTGTCAAAGCGCTCGTGCTCATTCGGTGAGCGGGATCGCCTCTCCGCAGACCTGACCCGCCGCGGAACATTTCAGGGAACGACGGCACCACGGAGATGAGCCGGTAACAGAAAAGCAACGCGGCGCGGCTTTAATTGTGACGAAACCGTGGAGGCGGATCCACGACGGCGACAACGTCCTCGTTTTGAATCCAGGTCCAGACCCGGTTTGGACTTGGATCCTAAACCGGGACCTTCTTCAGACCGGGTCCAGACTTGGTCCGGACCGCGGACTTGGTTCTGGCCAGGATCTGGGACGTGGACCTGGTTTTGGTGCGGTTTTGGATGTGTGTGTAATATTTAAGGTTGTACAGTGAATATGACAAACAGAAAATATTAAAGAAGTGCATGAACACGTGTCCTTTTCTTTTTTTCCAGAACTTTAAATTTAAAAACAGACAAAGAGCTGAGAAAAACAAACAAAACAAGTCAAAACTCCAGAGTGAAACTGAAAAATGACTCCAGAGTTTGAGTTTTGTCCAGACTAAAGTGGAACAGTTCAGATTCTAGTCGAGTTTAATGAAGAAATATTTGTGGGGGAAAAATCTTGAGCTGAAAATGTCCCTCTGACCTGATTTGTCACTTCCTGTTCTGTCTTTTTGTCATGAGTCTAAAATAAGTTTTCGTGCACAAACTGACCTGATCTTTATTCGTTTGATTTTCCCCAGACGTCCGTGCGTTACAGGATTCCCACGCTCCTGGAAATCCTGGAAAAGTCATGGAATTTTAGTCTGTCTTTCCCTCCGCTCCAGTGTTGTGTTCAGTTCTCATCTGTTCTGATTATTTCTGAACGTCTTTTGTTTGAAAGAGACGACAATAAATAAAAATAAACACACTGACAGGATTTTAATGTTCAAAAACTATAATCCCAAACCCGAAGGTGAGAGGAAAGATTTAATGTTTCAGATTTAACCTAAAAGTCGGATCAATAGAGGCTTTGCACCGTCACGTGTCTCCATGGTAACAGTACCTACGCCGCCATGACACCGGACACACTATGTCACTATGTCACTGACTTCAGCAGCGTCGGAGAAACATGGGCAGGTTTTGTTGTGAGTTTGGTTGTTCTGGATCAGGAAGTGTCAGAGTCATTTTGTTCCAGGCATCGTGTCCAACCGACTTTGATCCAAAGTGTCTGGATCAGAAAACTCATGTCATATAAACCCCAAAAATAACAAGAAGTTCAAATATTTGTGCAGA